AACAAAAGTGAATGGTGGGACATACACAGCAAGAAGTACTTATTCACACAACGCACAGTTAAACCGTGTAATTTGGTTGTCCAATTTGGGGGTCATAGCCACCAGTTTAGATGGCTTTAAAATGGGAGTAGAGAGCTTCATGCTCTGGGTACTGGTCAGGGTGGCTGTGTATGTTGAGAGGCCTGGTTAGAGGCAAGATAGGGCAGGATCAAATGCACTTGTTCCATTAGTGCACAGATTTACTGTTTCTCAGTGGAACTCCCCCCTCCTTCCCCAATGTGTGCCCCCTGCCCCCTGCTCTGGAGGGTTGGTGGAACCCCTAGAACAGATTTGGGGAGATCATGGGAGGAAGGGTGTGTGTGGCATTGTGTTGGTCAAGCTGAAATCTTTGTGCTGACGGAACATCCACATATGCTTTTTTGAATGCAGCCCATACCTGTGAACACCAGTCACTGGCAGATATTGGGCTTGAGGCCCTCACTGTGTATTTCCCATAGGCTTCTGCCTGACCTCTGTGGGCAAGAGCAGAGCGCAACTGGTGCTGTCCTGCGGGAGGTGGGGGGGTGGCAAAACAATGCTATAGAACAGAGCACAAGAGGCAGGGGACACCAAATTTTAGTGTCGCACAGGGTACTGCCAAAATCTGAGAGCTATTGCCTTCTGGGGCCATATGGCAGTGGCGGATGGGGCCAGAGTCAAAGTGGCTAGAGAAACAAATGTGGATCCTGACTTTATGCACCAGGCTGCTTTTTGCATCCCTTTCTACTCCCCACCCAGGCAAGCATTCAAGAACACAGTAGGGGTGTGGCCTAGGAAATAGGTGTGTCCTGAGGGCAGGTAGATGGTTCCCCACCCTTGAGATTCTCAATCCCTGCCTTGATCTGGCCTTTATGTTTGAAAGGAGGAGGAGAGGAAGGAGTGGAGCCCTGCTTTCCCTGGAGTAAAAAGTAAAGGGACCCCTGACCATTAGGTCCAGTCGTGGCCGACTCTGGGGTTGCGGCGCTCATCTCGCTTTATTGGCCGAGGGAGCCGGCGTACAGCTTCTGGGTCATGTGGCCAGCATGACTAGTTGCTTCTGGCGAACCAGAGCAGCGCACGGAAACACTGTTTACCTTCCTGCCGGAGCGGTATCTATTTATCTACTTGCACTTTGACGTGCTTTCGAACTGGTAGGTGGGCAGGAGCAGGGACCGAGCACTGGGAGCTCACCCTGTTGTGGGGATTTGAACCGCTGACCTTCTGATCTGCAAGTCCTAGGCTCTGTGGTTTAACCCACAGCACCACCCGCATCCTTCCCTGGAGTAGAACCTTCCAAATCCCCAAGAATTAAGCATGAAGAAAGGGGGCCTACTGATCACGGAATCATAGAACTGTAGATGCTTCTTCTTGTTGGAGCATCATCAGCGTAACACTAAATATCAGTTTTTGGGGAACAGTGGGAGAGGGCTGCCGTGTTCATGTCCTGCTTGGGAGCTTCCCAGAAGCATCTGCTTGGTCACTGTGGGAAGCAAATGCGAGACTGGATAGGCCTCTGGTCCGATCCTGCAGGGCTCTTTAAATGTTCTTAGGAGAAGCTATGGAGCAAATGGTCATGCTAGGAAATAGCTTGCCTGCTGGTGACAAGCTGTCCATGTCAGCTTGGTCTTGTCAGGTGGCCTATGACATTAGTGAAGAAACACTGATATTCCCATAGGCTGTAAGTTAGCACACAGCTGACTACTGATCCATCTACATACAGGTTTGAAGCTCTAAGGTGAGGCAGGAAAATGGAAAAGCAACTCTCCCTCATGTCAGATTTTAAACTTCCTTACTGACATTCTCAGCCCAGGTGGCCGTTGGCAGTGACACCACAGCTTTCGATTAAAAAATGTAAAATGAGTTGGCCTCTTTTTGATCTGGCCTTGTTACTATCTCCTGAGCTGCAATTTGATCTGCAGCAGTTAGCAGGTGATAAGATTTAGCTCCCATACCCAGGAAATACCCACCTATTGTAAATCTCTGTTAAAGAGGCGGAATGTTGATTAAAAAATTGTGTCTACTTGGCAACACCAGCCAATTCTGGTCTTACAAGGGAGGTGAAGCAGAAGGCACTCAGAATCCTTTCTTGGATGGCTCTCAACAAAACAAAAACAAACAGATAAATAAGGAACCTATACTTGGCAACTCTGACACAGAAACTCTGCACATACACTAAGCAAAAGAATGAAAAATCACTACCCCCTTCTTTCTCTCCCCTACAACCTCACAGTGTCCGTGACAGCAGTGTGTCACACCGAATGTAACTGACCTGTATAAAGGACCCTCTGAATTGAAAACAGAGACGTTGTATATACGCTTGTTAACTATGAAAATCCTTTAATAAAAACAACTAAAAAACCGAAACAAAGAACTTTCTATGCACTTTACTGAAAGGACTTGAGTTGCAATTAATTTCTGATCAAATGCTTTCATAGGAGAAAATGGAGTCAAGTGTGCGTCTGGTCATTTGGGGAGAAAAGGGGGAACATGGAAGTGTTGGGGTGCTACTCAGCTTGCATTGGAGGCTGATGGGAAAGAGTAGGTAGAGAAACCTCCAAGCTTCCCATACCTTCCTTTAACATGTGCTGGCCTTCCCCCGGGTGTTGGACCCATACTCTGGGTGGCTGACCACTTTTCGTATTTCCTCGGAAGACAAGACATCTTTGTTCATCTCTTTTTCTAAGAAGCATGGCTCTTTGAACCTCTGCCTAAGTTAGAACTAAGATCTTTCCTATTGAGCATGTGTTTTCTTTAAATTTAGCTTTCTTATTTTCCTGACTCAGAATCTCAGTGTGGAAATATCATTGCCCGCCCACCAACACTGCATGCAAGGTTTTTTTTGTTATTTTAAATCCTGATACAGCTTCAGTAAATGAGTAAATGAGTAAATGAGTAAATTGGAGTGGTGTCATAGCTCAGTGGTAGGGCACATAGATAAAGGTAAAGGGACCCCTGACCTTTATGTCCAGTCACAGACGACTCTGGGGTTGCGGCGCTCATCTTGCTTTATTGGCTGAGGGAGCCGGCGTACAGCTTCTGGGTCATGTGGCCAGCATGACTAAGCCGCTTCTGGCAAACCAGAGCAGCACACGAAAACGCCGTTTACCTTCCTGAGTAGATCTATTTATCTACTTGCACTTCGACGTGCTTTCGAACTGCTAGGTTGGCAGGAGCAGGGACCGAGCAACGGGAGCTCACCCCGTTGTGGGGATTTGAACCGCCGACCTTCTGATCGGCAAGTCCTAGGCTGTGTGGTTTAACCTCCAGCGCCACCCACATCCCTTGGTAGAGCACATGCTTAGCAGGCAAAACATCTTCAATCTAATCCCCAGCATCTTAATGGAGGAATGAGAAAGGCGTTTGCTACTAGCATAAACAGTACTAACTTGATGGACGAATGGTCTGGATCAGTCTAGGGCAGTGTCTCTAGTTGTGGCAGAATGTCAGTGAGGATGTGCAACCAAATGCACATTCTGTTGATACGATAGTGTGGTGCAGATTGACTCCCATCCACATGTGGGTACATGTTCCCTCTCCTTCGCAACATTTGCCCTGTTGCGAACGCCCCATTGTGAACACTTAAACATTTTGTTCAAAAATGTCAACAGTGTGTGTTAGCTTCCTTTTTTCTTTTTCCAGAAGTGTAAGAGGTTCATAAAAAAAAGGTTGCTCATTTTGGCTCAGCGTTTTATAATGTGATTATACTCCTTTGAACAAAAGTTTGGCGAAGTGGTAAAAAGACGGCAAAATCGTTTGTGCATCGACCAAAATTCCTGGGGAGTGGCAGCACTTGGGTGTTGCCAGGAAACAGTATCTCCGCTTACTGACTCAATTAACTGGAGTGAAGCAAGGGGCAGGTGCTGATTCAGGTGCACAGGAGATGGGGTCCTTTGTAGAAACTGCCTTACCTTAATTAAGTTGGACCTACCTACCCTTTCTCCCTTTTATTGCTGTGCGTTAAGAAGCAAAAGGGGGGACGGGACAGAAACAGGAAGTCCATCATCTCACATGGAAAGATCACCATCTACTGGCCAGTGATCATATTAGGAAGTAGAACACAAACTGTCTCCCTTCACAGGCTTTAAGCCATGGGTAGGCAAACTAACTCCTTCATGGATCACTGCCTTGCCATGGCGAAGGGGCTTGAATAACTCACAGAAGCTATGATCTATGCCATGCAGGACCACCCAAGATGGACAGATCATAGTGGAGAGTTTTGACCAAACATGATCCACCTGGAGCAGGAACCGGCAAGCCACTCCAGTATCCCTGCCAAGAAAACTCCATGGACAAAGACAACAGGCATATAAAAGTTATGACGCTGGAAGCCAAACTGCGGGAGGAAGAATGCTATTCCTCTAGATTAGAGTCATGCGTGGTGATATTGGCCTCCCAAGTGTGCACACCATCATTGACCAGCTGCCTTGGATCTTCTAATGCTGATGCTCTTAAGGGAGAAACAGGGGTGACTTGGTCAGGGACTCCACTGCCAGTGGTGTGTCAGGAGCCCACCCCAAGGGTCCTTCCTGAAGGCAGACCTAGGGAGAGGTTTTGGATTTGGATTTGATATCCTGCTTTATCACTACCTGAAGGAGTCTCAAAGCGGCTAACATTCTCCTTTCCCTTCCTCCCCCACAACAAACACTCTGTGAGGTGAGTGGGGCTGAGAGACTTCAGAGAAGTGTGACTGGCCCAAGGCCACCAGGCAGCTGCATGTGGAGGAGCGGAGACACGAACCCGGTTCACCAGATTACAAGTCTACTGCTCTTAACCACTACACCACACTGGCTCTTCAGCATCTTCCGTGCTGGTGTCAAGGGGCTCTACCTATTCATCTGGTTCTTCAGTCATCAGGAGGTCTCAGTCCTCAATGGGGAATTTATTTACAGAGTTACACCAAGTCAGACCAGTGGTCCATCTAACTTAGTTTTGCCTGCACTGACTGGAAGCAGCTCTGTTGGGTTTCAGACAGGAATCTCTCCCAGCCCTACCTGGAAATGAACCTAGGACCTTCTGTATGTAAAGCAGATGCTCAACCACTGAGTTAGGGCCCTTTCCCATAGGACTGGGCGCCCATGGCATTTATTCAAAATAAAATCAGTCAGTGTGAGCATGCTTAAAAGAAATGTTTCTTGTCATAACACGTAGGGCCTATTTTGTACTGTGGCTGTTCTACATGGACCTCATTCAATATGCTGACTAATATGCTTTGGAGTTTGTGCTTGTAGATGATAAAAGGGATAAAACTTTCATGGGGCAGACTTTCCTCACAGGAGAGTTAATGCTTGATGTGCTAACAGTTCTGTTTACACTGCTGGCAACGTCGCTGAAAGCCAGTCCCCCTGCTGCTGCCAATCAGAGCCTCTCGCAAAGTGAATGCCTTGTGTGCCTATTGCATCAGGTTGTCTAACATCAGCCATAAAGTTTCTGGGGGGAAAGGGAGTGTTTGAACCAGTATGGTGAGTAGCTAAAATGTTTTGCTTGCTTGATATCTTGCTTCATCCTAAAGGGTCTGGGAAGGTTACACAATATTTAATGTTTCAAAACTTTTTTTAAAAGAAAAAACTAAAAGAAATTGAAATTTCCTTTTAAAGAAGGCACACGTCCAAGCTAGCTATTGCCCTCTAGGGCAATTGACCTTTGCAGCAGAGTTCATTCTGAAAGGTAGTGCGGGAGTTGGCTCCCTGCTCCGGGCTGTGGAGTAACCCACAAGTGTGGGATGCAGTTCCACTAAACGTGTCTTGTTTACTGTGGGTTTCAAACAGGCCTTAAAGACCCACCTCTGTACCATAGCCTTAGTAACTAGTTTGATCTGAGATTCAGAACTCTCCAATTTTTGCCTGATTTTGATCATTTTAATGCTGGATTTGTGTTGGTCCTCTTGGCTTCCAATAACATCTGGAAATAGTGTTTTGAATGTATTAATTCATTTGTTGGTGTTTTATATGGTCTTGAATTGTATTTTATTGTACACTTGATATGCAGTTAATAACACGCTCTGTAATTAATTTTATTTTTCTTGAAAAACAAAATCCAAGTTTATTAAATACTACCAATAAAAATAGCCAAAACCCTCACTGGTGTTCTTCCTGGGAGGGCGGGGTGTGTGTGATCTCCCAGAAGTCAGCACTGGCCCTCCCATTAGGCAGAGTGAGGCAGTGCCTTTGGAGTGTTATGTAAGGGCAGCCAATGGTTAGTTATTTAATTTATTATTGTGGATTTTGTACTCTCAGGGAAAGGCACTTGCATGCCTAGGCGTCCCCTGCCCAACGGACCGTCTAAATAATGAGACATGGCAAGTTCAAATTTGGGCTAGGCCACAACTTTTCTTATATATATAAAAATTTTATTAGTTTTACATAATACAGCAAAAATAACCATTCCAAAAAATAAAAAGAGGTTCTTTCGAACCTTCAGACCTCCTTCCTTCCCTCCATGACTTCCATTTCTAAAAGTTATTCCTGCATCTTTTACTGTAATCCATCTATTATGTAATCATGGTAACCGAAGTTCAAGTTACTTTACAAGTGTCATTGTGTTCCTGCCAATGATTTCAACTGTTTACAGTGGTCTTTCAAATATATTAAAAAGTTATTCCAGTCTTTTAAAAATACTTGGTCATCCTGCCATCAATCTTGCCATTTCCCCATATTCCATTAGCTTGGTCTGCCATTCTTCTCTGGTTGGTACTTCTTCTTTCCATCTATGGGCCAGAAGCATCCTTGCTGCCGTCATTGCATACATAAACAGTCTTTTATTTTGATAGACAGCTTTATTGACTACAGATGTAAGAGGTTTGGCATAGGCATTGAGTAGACCACACTCCTTCCATCCCGTGTCAGCGAAGCTAAGATGCTGACAGGAGGTGAAGAAGCAGGCATAGGGAGAGAACAGTTAGCAGCTGAAGGCAGAGAGGAGAGGGAGAGCAGCTGTAAACTGAGTTTGGAACAAAGGGGAGGAGAAAAACAGGGCCAGAGTGACAGGCAGCTGTGTGAGAGCTCTAAAAGTGAGCCAGATGTTGGAATGCAGGAAACATTCTCTCCCAAATCTCGTAGGATCTCAAAAGTGGCCGAGACGCACAAAAGATATCCGAAGAGAAGGTGGGGGTTTCCATGCTGGGGAAGGGGGAGGAGCTCCATCTTCTGGACGATGGGTAGAGGAGCTCCGTCCTAGTTTGTTTTAGCAATAAATCTGAAATAATTAACAGCCACAGTCATCTTGCGTTTGTGGGAGAGACCAAGCCATAACAGCCCGCTTGCCGGAAGTACTTAATATGAGGCCAGCTGGAAGAGAGGAAGTTCTTGACCTACATCAAAGAGTAGCTCCCTCTCTGGGTTGCACTTGGGCAGTGCTGTGGTCCTAGGCCCTACCTGGGCATCCCGACAGAAGCATCTCCCCTGGATCCCTTTAAGAGGATACCCCGTTTTCAGGAGGGGCAGGCAGAGGCTACAACCTCTCCTCTGTCCAAGATTATGCCTACCCAATGCCCAAACTGCCAAAGTTGTGATGATTGCTATGAGGATGGTGAAAATCAGATGGGAGGAGCCAATTAGCCATATGGGAAAATTCCAGCCTGGTCCCGAATATGGTGACCGACAAGGTCCATAGCAAGGCTGCTCAATGCAACCCACATCTGAAAAATCAAGAGGGCGGATGTGTGATCCAGCGACAGTGGCTGCCAAGGCCAGCCATGGGCCCTCTTTAAATCCCTTGGGAGCAGGCCCGAACAAAGCCAACAGGGCCAGCCGTGTCCGCCCCCTGGAGTGGCCTGCCCCCAAGCCTGCTCACAATTGGCCAGTTGTGAAAGCAGGCTGAATCCACTTCCTGGGTGGCAAGCTCATTCCAGGGACATCCTTTGCCACCTGGGAAGTGGGCTAGAAGGCGGAGCCTCCGACATTGGAATCACGATGGGCAGGAGGAGCACCTTCCCACAGCGTAAAGGGGTGAGTGAATTTGTGGAACTTTCTGCCTCAGGCGTCAAAATGACTTGGTCAGCCTGGGGTGCTCTGTGCTTTGAATTGAGAGAGGTAGTATTTATTTATTTAAGAAAAAATGTTTTCTGCTCGAATGAAAGAGAAAACTTTAAGCAGCATGACATTTGCTGTTCCATCTGAGGCAGAAAAATACCCTGGCTCAGCTCTCTGTTCCATGGTTGGTGACAACATGAGCCAGACTGTCCTTCACCCTCACTTCTGCAAATGCAGGGAATTGGGCATGGAAACCCCAGTCACACACCCCATGCCTTGAAGCAACTCTGTGCCTCCGTCTACATGGGACTGGGATGATAAAAGTCCCTGGAGGCAATTCACAGAGAGTGCTCAGCGGGAGGAGGATGAAGCTATTCACTTAGACTTTAATACCTTGCCTCTTCAATCCAGTAGGGTCCGCAGAGTGGTTTACATCACAGGTGAGCATCACAGACAACAAACGCCAAGACAGGATAAAAAAACAAACAAACCAGAAATAAAAAGGGCTGGTAGTTTGTTTATTTATTTATTTTCTAAAAGGACTCAGCTGGCACCAAATAATTGACAGCCTTGGCACCAAAAGGAATCCAATGGTGGGGGCACAACTATGAAAATGTCAGGCTGGCGTCAACCTCTGGCATCTATTGGTAGCTCCTCCATTAAATTACTTCTTCTGGCCCAGGACTAGAAGCAGTGCTGTGGATGGGTAAGATTAGTGATCATTTTAAGATCCCTCAACTCACATGGGTTTCAGACAGGACTCACTCCCGGTAATACCTAGAGATGCCAAGGATTGAACCAATGACTTTTTGCATGCAGAGTAGATGAGCTTTGGCCCTCCCACTAAATACATTGTCCTTAGTGGTTTTTATTTAAAGCATAAAGGTAAAGGTAAAGGACCATTAGGTCCAGCCGTGGACGACTCTGGGGTTGCGGCGCTCATCTTGCTTTACTGGCCGAGGGAGCTGGCATACAGCTTCTGGGTCATGTGGCCAGCATGACTAACCAGAGCAGCGCACGGAAATGGCATTTACCTTCCCACCGGAGCGGTACCTATTTATCTACTTGCACTTTGAGGTGCTTTCAAACTGCTAGGTTGGCAGGAGCAGGAACCAAGCAACGGGAGCTCACCCCGTCGCGGGGATTCGAACCGCTGACCTTCTGATCGGCAAGCCCTAGGCTGTGTGGTTTAGACCATAGCGCCACCCGCGTCCCGTTTAAAGCATAGGAGCCTATTAATGCCCTTTTCTGCCTCCTTAAGTTGCCTTTCCCTTAAACATTTGTTAAACACATGCAACCCATTAAAACTCCCTTTAGACACAACAGTCCTATATCTACATGGGCAAACTGTTCACAGCGATACAAAATTATAAAGAGGCAACGGATGAGGTAACTATGTCACTTTCCCATCAGTCTTCCTTACACACAGACACAGGCAAATAAGTTAAGCATGGATGGGAACATTGCATGTTGTCAGATGTCGAAATTCTGTTATTGTTTTCTCCTCACATGGGTGGCAAAAGAAGAAGCTTTTCAGAGCTGGAATTTAAACACAGCAGACAGTACGAAACCGCATGAGAAGACTCTTGATTCTTTCCATCTGTCCACACAGAAGCCACATGGCAACGCTAAAAGGTGTTCCAGCCTTGTGGCTTTCGTTGGACGTGAGTAAACAATGTGTGCCTCTTGAGCCCGAAGGAGGTGGCGCAGGGGTGTGTGCAGAGTGCCCCGCCTACCCCAGGGAAGGGAAGGATCAAAGGAAGAGGGCTGACCCTTCAATTATAAACTAAACTTGAATTATCTGTGTACATTAAACTCAGATGTTCCTGCAAACACAGTAAGGTCACCCATCTTTCCTCCCTGTAAGAAACATCCTGCTCACTATTGCTGGAGGGTGGAAATGGATAATAAATTCTTTAGCCATATGAACGGAGATGCCTCTCAGGTAAGTCCATTATAATAAGCGCTTTACTAGTTTCTGATTTTAAGGCTGACAACTTTTCGACCAGCTTCGATATGACTTCAACAATGGCTTGACCTTTGCAGAAATTCACAGGCAACAGCCTTTTCCTCTGTCCGGCGCTTTACCTGCTAATTTTCGCATATGAAACTGTTGTCAAATGCAGAGTTCCAGAAAGTTGGAAGTGCTGCCCAGTTCTGTGGACTTTAATGGGACTGGGGAGCAGGGCTCGTGAGCACAGCACTTCCCCATTTCAGATATGCAGTGCCAATATTTCAGTATGAGTAGGAAGATGAGAGTACCCCTGAACATTTTTTAAGAAAAAAAAGAACTGGGTAGAGGAGTTATATACTTTAGGACTGCAGTGGAAAAATTCAGGTGAACATGTAATGTGTGGATGCAGTTATGCAGCAGGGTAATTTTAGACTCTAGACTTACTGGACTTATGGGTTCTTCACCCCTTTGGGTTGTATTACATCACTTTAAAATGTGGTTAGTCTGCCTTGTTTTTTGGGGATCCTTCTGCTCCCTTCAGTTGAGCGGGGGTCCTGGATTTCTGCCCAAAAATCTTGCCCTGATAGCACCACTGTGTGGTTGCTACCCATATATAGGTGCATGTATAGGTGAAATGTGTATGCACTGTGTTCAAAGATGCAATTTCACTTGTGTATGACATCCATGTATTACATATCTGCTGTGAGCAAATGTAGGTGTAAGATCAATTATTTCCTGAGGGGTTCCGGGTGTCCATAGCTGAATGTAGTCCATACACTTGTTCCTGTGGAGCTGGCCAAAGTTAGCCAGTCTCACAGAATTATTTTAGTAAATAGCTTCAATGAGGAAAGAATTCAATATAATAGTTAGAAGGGATAGTAGAAGGAAGGGGTGGGTGAAATTCTTCTGAGTAATTTTACCAGTCTCTTATTGACCTCTGAATTCCCTAGGTGTTTTCCTTGAGGAGGAAAACCCTCAAAATTGCTCATACTGTAGGTAAAATTTAGATTTCAAGGCTGGGAGGAACTGATTCTATTATACTGCTCCAAATCAGCTGAATCTGTAATTTTGTCATGGAAAGAAGGTGCAGCAGAATGAGGTGGTATCACTTCAGACTGCAGGTGGGTGATGAATTTCTGGACTGCTCCAAGTAATAATAATAATAATAATAATAATAATAATAATAATAATAATAATATATTTTTAAACTTTTTGCCTCTCAGGTGGCAAGACGAGCTAGCACATTTCTTCCTATTGTGTTAGTTGCCATCTTAGTTGTGTGCAGGTTTTCTTTTTAACAATGGGAAGACTTCAAAACTGGTACCCCCAGCCTGCAGTCCAGGTCTGAAGGTGGGGAGGGGGAGACTATGGAGACATCATGAGAGCCACATACAATCAAAGTAAATATTATTCAGTTATTATCTATTGTTACCCACCCCCCTGCCCGCAACAAACTCAAGTGCTCTAGACTCACAAAAGTCGGAATTCAAATCAAGGTGCTTCTTTTCCTACTTACATGCCAGATTTTGCATGTAAGCAGGGTTCCACAAACACACTCGCCAAGTTTCCAATGGTGACCATATCCTTTCATCTGGCAACTGCCTGCCCCAGTGCTTGCCTTGGCCTCATGCCTGTTGGATGCACTTGAAAGCAGCAAGACTTCTGAAGGTCAGTGAGACTAGAGGGATGAGTCCTGGAACTTTGGATAAAGGTCAGATGCTCTTTCCTTCAGTCATACTCACCCGTTGAAGCAGTGAGTCGCCCCTGGTTCTAAGCTGTCCTGGAGCTCAGCATGACATTGGTTGAGACCATTCCCCTTCCCTCAGTCAGGAGGGAGTAGGTCAGGTTTGTTTGAGACAATCATGCCAAGCCAACATTTGGGGACTTCTGAATATAAATGTTTAATACATATAAATTTGCCCTGAGTAGTTTCTGTTCTTCAGACATTTTCAGTGTCCAAGCAGACTTCTACAGTTGAGGTTCTCTTTTGTTTAGCTGTGGCCTATTTCGAAGAGCAGCTGCCCCCCCCGCCCCCGTGGACTAAATTAATGTGCTGAAGTTAAAAACGTCTTCTGAGTGATGGATTCTTGGCTCTTCTAGGGATAAAATTAACTGGTGTAAAAAAAATTAAAAAATCAAATCCGCATGGGTTGCTTAGATTTGCAAACAACACTTCCATGGATCTATTCAAGATTTTCCTCATAAAATTGTGCAACCAACCAGCAGTCTTTGGATCTCTTTGTGTCTTCACCATTTCCTCATTAGCAAGATTGTTCGTAGTGAATGGCTTTTATTAGCTTCTTGTGCCAAGACACAAGAAACCCCTGCCTCCAAGATTTCTTGACCACATAGAAGACTTTCCAGACTGTAGACTTTGGCCCAGATGGTTTGAGTTTGTCCCATGCTTTTTTCTTGTAACACATGTTTATGAGAAAAGACTTATGGTCAACATTTGCGTATGTATCATGCAGGAATCCAGCTACATTGAAGAAAGCAAGGCCCAGAATGATGCAATCTCCTTGATTTTCTCCCTCAAAGAAGAAGTTGGAGCGTTGGCTAAAGTGCTACGCATATTTGAGGTATGTGCTTTGCTAAGCCTTTACAGCAAGAGAAACACGACTGAAATTTCAGAACCAACATCTGGCTGTCAAAACCGCAATCCTGATGCATTATTCTTAGCTGTTGAGTCCAGCGCTACCGCAGCATCACCTCTGCACCCCACACCCTATGTATACATTGCATGCATGTTAAAAAACCTTTGGGGAAAGCTCTTGCATTATACCATCATATCATTCTTCATTTCCCCACTCCCAATTCATATCATTGGCCGAGAAAAGTGGAATGCCATGATGTCACAGCACAAGGCAAATTCTACTAGATATTGCAGATGCTGGAACTAGATGTACAGTTGCTGTTTTTAGTAACAGCCATGCACTTGCTGCCATGTCCATGGGTCCCGTCCGTTTCCCCTTTCTTTGGGAAGAAAGGAACGTCTTCAGTATGGGGCGTACTTCCAAGTACGGAGGATCACGTATAAAACTTTGCTGATACCGAATTTGTATGTGTTTTAAATAACCATGCAGGTGGCAGCAGACTCTGCAGAATCATAGTGTTAATGACTTCATGATCCTTGTGCTGCTGGAGACAGTTTCTAGTATTCAGTTGTTATTTATTTGAGTAAACACAGACCTAACATCACACTTACACCAGAGGAATTGGCAGTGAGTGACCAGTACAGCAATCACAGGGTTGCTGTGGATAGCTTGATAAAAAGGTTACTCCTGCGTGAGGCATCTTTCTTTTTATTAAAAAAGGAGTCAAATTCCATTCTAGAGATCATCAGAAAATAAAGCTGCCAATACTACAATGCTTTTGTACATGGAATGACCACACTTGGGATACTGCATACAGTTCTGGCACATGTGGTGGGAGTGTCCCCAAATAAATTTTCTTGATGGAAACACTATTTATGGAAGTCGGATGATCACAAAACAAACTGTACTCCCCACAGAGGGTGCTATTGAGCCTTTATTAACAGCTCTTTTTGAATTGCTAGTAACGTGACAGTCCAGGACAGTCTCTAGGCGACTTACAATCAAGTTTTAAAATATACAAAATTGTTTTAAAACGTATAAAAATCACTATCAAAATTGAACACATAAGGCATAAAAGCATAAAACCAGCCTATGCAGGGGCAGGCGAGAAGGAAAAGACTTATCAGCAACCCAGAGAGAAGCATTAACAAAGCCTTGACACAGCTGGATCATATTTCATCTGATGCTTAAGAGAAGAGGAAAGTATTAACCTGATGCCAAAAAGATGCCAGGGCTGGCGAGCCGGGCATGACTCACTGGGGAGAGCATCTCATGTTAAAAGCCCAGCCTCTGTGGTTTCATTTGTTTCCTTTAAAGAACATTGAGTCTCCTCTTAAAAGCAGCTCATTGGAGAGGAATAGTTCTGAACAGAGAAACTGTTGTGTAATAAACTACTGGCAACTTGTTTTGTATCTGGGGGGAAATTAAATTAGCTAGCAAGTGAAAAGGAAATATGGAGAGGAAATGCAAGTAGAAAAAGTTATACATCCCAAGACCACTTCTGTTGATTAACCCAGGGAAAAAAATAATGATTACCTAGAAGAATGTGAACCATAAATCCCTTTCCAGCAAAGTAAAAGTTTGTGTGTGTAATAATTCCAGAACTGCTTCCCCCACAGTTGATGCATCTTACTCAGAACTCATCTGTCTATCAAGCATCCCGAAAAGAAAATGCAGTTCTGAGTTCTGAGTTGAAAAACTTAATTTTTGCCGGCTCCTTTAGTGCTAGGCAATGAGCAATTGCCCAAACTACATTGGCAGGTGTGGGGAACCTCCAGATGATAATTGAACTACAACTCCCATCATCTCCAGCAACCTTGACCAATGGTCAGGGATGATGGGAGTTGTAGTTCAGCAACATCTGGAGGACTGCTATATGCAGTGGGCAAAATGTACGTAAAGAGTCAAGTCAGATATGTAACTCTTAACAAAGATTTCTCTGCCTCCTCTCCCTTCTGCTGAGCAAACAGAACAGTTATCTTTCTCAGTATTTTGAATGTGCTTATAAAAAGCAATATTTACTTTGGTCAGTGAAACTACCCTAGCTACCTTCAAAGAGTCACGTCTGCACATTTGGCAACCGAGTGGATGGTCACATCATTTTCGGAGGGGAGTGGTGTTTGTATATTGATGCAACTGGCATAGCCATTTGCTGCAGGAGATCTGTTCAGCCCAGATAAAAATTAACCCATCCATTACTCTGATGAGGGGGATGCGGGAATAAACTCATTGTTAAAAGTGATGCACTTTCATCAGGGATGGAAACAGATGGGTGGAGTAAAGGGTAAAGGGACCCCTGACCATTAGGTCCAGTCTTGACTGACTCTGGGGTTGCGGCGCTCATCTCGCTTTATTGGCCGAGGGAGCCGGCGTACAGCTTCCGGGTCATGTGGCCAGCATGACTAAGCCGCTTCTGGCAAACCAGAGCAGCACACGGAAACACCGTTTACCTTCCCGCCGGAGCGGTACCTATTTATCTACTTGCACTTTGATGCGCTTTCGAACTGCTAGGTTGGCAGGAGCTGGGACCAAACAACAGGAGCTCACCCCGTCGCGGAGATTTGAACCGCCGTCCTTCTGATTGGCAAGTCCTAGGCTCTGTGGTTTAACCCACAGTGCCACCCGCGTCCTGATGGGTGGAGTACATATTGCTAAAAATTCAGTTACGGAATTGTGTAGGGCCTCAGATGCTATAAGTAAATGGGGAGGAACAAATGGTTTTGAGGGCAGTCTTTTTGTTGTCTTCAGTAGAAGATGAATGCATTTTATAATTGCGAAAGAGCCATAGCTCAGAGGCAGAACATCTGCTGTACATGCAGAAGGTCCCAGGTACAATTCCTGGCATCTCCAGGTAGGGCTGGGAATGAGCCCTGCCTGCATCTCTGGAGAGCTGCTGTCAGTCAGTGCAGACAGTGCTGAGCTACATGGACCAGTGGACTGGTTCAGTATAAGGCAGCTTCCTATGTTCTTAAGGTAAAGGGACCCCTGACCATTAGGTCCAGTCGTGGCCGACTCTGGGGTTGCAGCGCTCATCTCGCTTTATTGGCCGAGGGAGCCGGCGTACAGCTTCCGGGTCATGTGGCCAGCATGACTAAGCCACTTCTGGCGAACCAGAGCAGCGAACGGAAACGCCGTTTACCTTCCTGCCGGAGTGGTACCTATTTATCTACTTGCACTTTGACGTGCTTTCGAACTGCTAGGTTGGCAGGAGCAGGGACCTAGCAACAGCAGCTCACCCCGTCGTGGGGATTCAAACCACCGACCTTTGGATCAGCAAGTCCTAGGCTCTGTGGTTTAACCCACAGTGCCACCTGCGTCCCATTCCTATGTTCTTAAAAGGTGGCAAATGGTTCAAACAACGTGCTTGATAACACTATCATTAAGAACACAGAGACAGCTCTGCTCAGCACAACACTTGGCTACCATTCCTTGAAAAAACATTGAAGAGGTTTACCATGATGGATGTGAAAGAAGACGTTTTAATAGCAAAGGAGCTACAGATGGGTTTTATAGCGCATCCCCTTCCATTTTCACTAGCTGGGAATCGGGGTCATTCCAGATGAGAGAAACTGTTGACTCAGGAAATTCACCCACTTTCCAGAGCATCCTGGAAACAGATGTTGGTGCTAATATAATGTGGGCAAAAAAGAAAAACAGAAAAAAAGCTTTGTTCATTGACATATTGTTGTACAGGATATGGGAGGTGACAATTCTCAACTTCATGTCTGGTTTACTTCAGCTGGTGAACATAGATTCAGGTGCTTCTAGACTCTTAGTATTTCCAAGCTGGATTCAATAACATGCTAGCAAATTTAAGTTCAGTTAAAGCTGATAATGGAGCACTTGCACAACTTGCTCCTGTCTTTCCATCATTTTTTTTTCTGCAATAAAGAAAAAGTTAGGGAAATGCACTGGGAAGTATGGGGTAACAATTGCTTGATGCAATATTGTATAACTTCCCCATAAAGAAATGAAAATGAATTCTCTGTAAATAGTCGACCTTGTCTAACCACCCTGAACATGTTGTGAAAACAAATTGGGATGAATGCTCAATAAATAGGTCACCTGGAAGAGGCTAGGCTTTTTTTTTTTTTTTAAAGGTAAAAATAGTGCAGTGGTTCAACAGGCCTGTAATACCTTCTTCTGCTTCTTTTACTCGGTTTACAGAATAATGCATCCAAGGAACCCTGGAGTAAACACTGTAAGCACTACAGTAGTACCTCGGTTTACGAACTTAATCCGTTCCTGAAGTCCGTTCTTAAACCAAATCTGTTCTAAAACCAAGGTGCACTTCCCCTAATGAGGCCTCCCACGCCCGGTGCCCTTCCACCATTCTGCTTCCGTTCGTAGACTGAGGTAAAGTTCGCAACTGGAACACTACTTCCGGTTTTGCAGAGTTTGTAAACCGAATGTTTGTAAACAGGATTGTTTGTAAACCAAGGTACCACAGTATTTTATAATGGAAAACACTCTCTTTTGTTTTATAATTGTAAGCACTCTGAAATGAATTTATATGCAGTTAGTTGCATGTTTATGAGTACTGAAACGCTATTAGGATTTCAAAAACTTACCTAGCTCTAAACAGCTATAAATATTTTGTTTTTTTGTTTTTTATAATAATGTTTATTAAAGTTTCAAAAAATACGTGAAAATACAGAATAAAGAAAAAAGTATAAAGTTTTAAGATATAACAAAAAAGTAGAAAATAAGGAAAAACATACAAAATAAAACAGTTAAAAGCACAATAATTTTCCATAACCTATCTTCCTTGCTCTTATTTCCCTGACCTCCTCATACCTCCTTCTTTGTATTCCAATTCAATTTGTTGGTTCAGCAAATCCTTACCATTAATCTTTTACCCAATTGTTAACCTTTTTTTCCATGTCTCTTAAAGCATTACAGCTAAAAACCTCTTAGTTTCTATCCAACATCCTTCTAAAGTTCCTTAATTTTGCAATATTTCTGTAAATAGTCCTTAAATTTCTTCCAGTCTTCTTTCACCGACTCTTCTCCCTGGTCTCGGATTCTGCCAGTCATTTCCGCCAATTCCATATAGTCAATCACCTTCATCTGCCATTCTTCCAAAGTGGGTAGATCTTGTGTCTTCCAATACTTTGCGATAAGTATTCTTGCTGCTGTTGTAGCATACATGAAAAAGGTTCTGTCCTTCTTTGGTACCAGTTGGCCGACAATGCCCAAGAGAAAGGCCTCTGGTTTCTTCAGAAAGGTATATTTAAATACCTTTTTCAGTTCATTATATATCATTTCCCAGAAAGCCTTAATCTTTGGGCACGTCCACCAAAGGTGAAAGAATGTACCTTCAGTTTCTTTACATTTCCAACATTTATTATTGGGCAAATGATAAATTTTTGCAAGCTTGACTGGGGTCATGTACCACCTGTATATCATTTTCATAATATTCTCTCTTAAGGCATTACATGCCGTAAACTTCATACCTGTGGTCCATAACTGTTCCCAGTCAGCGAACATAATATTATGTCCAACATCTTGTGCCCATTTAATCATAGCAGATTTCACCGTTTCATCCTGAGTATTCCATTTCAACAGCAAGTTATACATTCTTGACAAATTTTTAGTATAAATATTTTGAATTAAACCAATTGCTAGTAACAGAGAGATCACGTTTTTTTGTTTTGTTTATTAAATTTATATACTACCCTTCATCATAAAATCTCAAGATGGCTCACAGAATAACCACAGAATTTTAACAACCCAATAACCTGTGGATTTAATCGAATTTACTAAATGTTAGGGAAGCCCCAAAACAATTTTTGTAGCTCATTTCTGTACATGTCTACTTGGAATTAATTCCAGTGTGTTCGGTGGGACTTATGAGTGAGTACTGCATTACATCCTTAGACTGCAATCCTGTACATGCTTAACTTGGAGTTAGTGCACTTACCTTGGAGTAAATGCCACTGAAATTGATGGGGTTTATATCTGCATAAGAAGTATGGGATTGCCCAGTGAATCTTTGAGCAAACCTCAAAGGGCTCATCACACTTACCTTTTGACCCATGCCTTCTAGGCACAATACTATGCTTTAAAGTTCCAGGTTCTAGTGATATTATTATTATTATTATTATTATTATTATTAGCCCTGGCACTTTCCCTTCGAAAACCCACTCTTTAATGCTGAATTGGAACAAACAAATCCGACTTGTCCACGAATTGCTTTTTGCTCCATTTCACTGGCAAAGATCGGTTTTCTGCAGGGAAAATGCCAGGGCAAAAAAATACCCGCCCATACTCAGACACTTTCTAGGACCTGTGCCTAGAAACACAGCACAAAAGAAAATCTGGATGAGCCCAAAGAAACACATAATGGATACAGACCAGCAAATTAGTTGTGACTACAGCCACATTTATGCCCTACATTTAAATGACCATGATACCACTTTGAAAAGTCATGGCTTCCCGCAAAGAATTCTGGGAGTTGTAGTTTGCTAAGAGTCGTTAGGGGACTCTGGTGGTGCAGTTTTCAGAATGGCTTGACATCCTGTCCCTCATCACAGGGAAATCTGGGAATTGTAGCTATGGGAAGGGGAAGAGTGTTCTCCCGAGAACTTTCAGCATCCTTCGCAACCTCCTCCTTGTGTGGCCTTGTGGCTTTTAGAGCAGTAATAGGCACTCCTTTATCTCTCTATTTCCACAGCTTCAGCCATCTGCCCCTTTCTGGCGCCCTGCAGTCATTCATTCTGCTCCGCAGCGAATCCAGGGACTCTCACATAAGAAGGGTCAAAAAGAGTTTCATTCTGCCCTCTACTTTGGCCTCCTTGGTGGTGGGTGCTGAGGTTTTACTCTGGCACCGAACCCTAAGTGGTGGAGATGCTGTAACATTTCTGGCTGTGGCTCTTAAGATGTGATACAACCAAGTGTGATGCTCCATAGCCCTTTGCAGTAAAGACAAATACACCTCCGATGTAAAGCCTTAATCTCAAAGATGATCCAAGGAAGGTTCCTTGCTGAGAGCAGGCTGTGACTTTTTGAGCCTGGTCTCAATCATAATAAATCTTGCTGGGAGTAATTTTAACTTTTTCCTATCGCTGGAGCCCTCTAATGATTTGCGAGCACCTAATTAAATAGCAAACACAAAGCATTGTCTGTGTGTGATGCAGACCTTTAGAGAACTAAAACAACTTGACCTCGGGGAGCAGCCTAGTTAAATGCATTATTTGCATGGAGACCAGCTCAATTAGGAGAACATCTTTCCTGAGCTGCAGGATTTGAATGCACTTCTGACCTTTTCAACTTATTGTGTTGGTATCTGGTCAAACAATTTAAGTTCATCTGTAGTGTCCACTGCTAAGAACTCAGAGAAAGGCACAAACAGCAATGCTCACGGCAAGCGATGGTGGGGAGCCACTTCAGAGTTCTGTGTCAGTAATGCACAAAGGTCTGCTCTTGAATCTATTTAAGGTTAAAGTACCCCAAAAAACAGCATTTATCATGGCTATTCTTGGAGGTGACTGTTTTCTATAATGACCATAGCAGTGTTTTCAACACAGACCAAGCAGTCCTCTTTTTTTTTAACAAAGAAAGAAAGAAAAGAATTTGTCCTTCTGGCATGCGGTGAGGATACCGGTCCATTTAATTGCTTACAATAGTCACTTGATAGAAAGAAGAAGTTGCTCAGGTGGCCAGCTAGGCATTGCTGAAAAAGAGGATTTGCATCACAACAAGGAGAGAATGGGCATGAAAGTTGCATATGGTAATTTAGGCAAACGTATCCTCCAACATTTCTGAAAATGAAAATAAGGATGCCCTAGCCATACCCAGTCCATCGTTTCGAATCATAGAGTTGGAAGGGACCCAAGGGTCATCTAGTCCAACCCCCTGCAATGCAGGAATGTCAGCTAAAGCACCCATGACAAATGGCCATCCAACCACTGTTTTAAAACTTCCAAGGAAGGAGAGTCCACCACCTCTCGTGGGAGTCTGTTCCACTGTTCAACAGCTCTTACTGTCAGAAAGCTTTCCCAAATGTTTAGTCGGTATCTCCTTTCTTGCAACTTGAAGCCATTGGTTCGAGTCCTGCCCTCCAGAGCAGGAGAAAACAAGCATGCTTCCTCCTGCATGTGACAGCCCTTAAGATATTTGAAGATGGCTATCATATCTCCTCTCAGTCTCCTCTTTTCAGGCTAAACATACCCAGCTCCTTCAACCATTCCTCATAAGGCATAGGTTCCAGACCCTTGATCATCTTGGTTGGCCTCCTCTGCACACGTTCCAGCTTGTCAACAAGCTTCTTAAATTGTGGTGCCTAGAATTGGACACAGTGTTCCAGGTGTGGTATCTGACCAAGGCAGAATAGAGTGGTACTATTACTTCCCTTGATGAAAATAGGATTCAAATTGAGAAAATATGATGCATATTGCCATAGTGGGGAAACCACCAGGGGACTTGTGTACCTGCTCAGTCTTCATAAACGTAGTTTGTTTTTTAATGTACCGTGAACTACCCAGTGATCCCAGCCACTTTCTAGGCCACCAGCCAAAATTGTGCTTCATTCTTCATTATGCTACCGTCTTTGTTCCAGGAGAAGGGGATAAACCTGATCCACATTGAATCCAGACCCTCCCGGCTGAACAAAGATGAGTACGAATTTTTCATCAATCTGGAAAGCAAGAACATCCCAGCTCTTGAGGGAATCATTCATACACTGAGAGACGACATTGGAGCAAATGTCCATGAGCTTTCACGTGAAAAGAAGAAGGATGCTGGTAAGGAGATATTGTTCAGAATAACAACATTCCTTCCCTACAGCAAAGTGGTTAACTGCCAGCCCTACTGTATACCTGAAAGAGCATCTCCGCCCCCATTTGGCTGGGGAGGGCGGGATATAAATAAAAAAATTGTTGTTGTTGTTGTTGTTGAACCTGGACACTGAGGTCTAACTCTAAGGGCCTTCTGGCAGTTCCCTCACTGTGAGAAGTGAAGCTATAAGGAACCAGGCAGAGGGCCTTCCCAGTGGTAGCCCCCACCCTGTGGAACACCCTCCCATCAGATGTCAAGGAGATGAGTAACTATATAACCTTTAGAAGACATCTGAAGGCTTTGATTGAACCACTTAAAGACACTATGACTAGAATTTTAGTGACTGGGGTGGTTCCGGCTTCCTGGAAAGACACATTTATTACCCTGATTCCTAAACAAAACTGTGATTTAACAAAGACTAAAAATTACAGACCAATTTCACTACTTAACTAATACTATAAATTATTTGCTGCAATTTTAGCCAACAGGTTGAAAAAGGTTTTAAGTGAATCCATAGGGACCAAGCAGGTTTTCTACCAGGTTGACAGAAGAAAGACAGCATAAGAAATATAATTAATTTAATCGAGTACCTGGAAGTAAGAAATGAAAAACAAGCAGCTATAATTTTCTTAGATGCTGAGAAAGCTTTGGATAATATCTCTTGGTCATTTATGATCAAGTTGTTAGAGAAGATGGAGATAGGTAATTCTTTCTAAGCAGGAATTAAGGCAATTTATACTGATCAATCTGCAAATATACTAATAAACAATATTCTCTCTGACAAATGCCAAATAAGAATAGGTACTAGACAAGGCTGCCCCTTATCTCCATTGTTGTTCATTTTGATGTTAGAAATATTGCTTCATCATATAAGGAGAAATAGGGAAGGCAATTAAAGGTATAGAGGAGGGGTGCAGAGTCTACAAATTAAGGGCATTTGCTGCTGATGTGGTGTTAACATTGGAACAACCTATGGTAAGTGATCCCAAAGCCTTAGAAGAAATTAAAAGGTTTGGAGAAGTGACAGGTTTCAAAATAAATACAGATAAAACCAAAATGTTGGTTAAAAACATGGACTAGCACTCGAAAAAGGCCTTAGAAAAAATGTCTGGCCTAAAAATAAAAGTAAAATATTTGGGGATTTGGCTGATGGTGAGGAATCTCAATTTATTTCAAGATAATCATATTAAACTATGGAAAGAGATTAAGAACGAATTGGAGATTTAGGGAAGGATGCAGCTTTCACTGTTAGGCAGAATCTCAGCCATTAAAATGAATGTACTACCTAAGATGCTGTTTTTATTCCAATCGATCCTGATTGCAAATAAGTTAAGTTGCCTCAAAGAATGGAAAAAAGATATCTCTAAATTTATCTGGCAGGGGGAAAGCCATGAATTAAACATAAAATCTTGATAGATGTAAAAGAAAGAGGAGGCTTTGCCCTGCCAGACCTAGAATTGTATTATGAGGCAGCATATCTGTGTTGGTAAAGGGAATACAGTGGTGCCCCGCAAGACGAACGCCTCGCAAGACGGAAAACCCGCTAGACGAAAGGGTTTTCCGTTTTGGAGGCGCTTCGCAAAACGAATTTCCCTATGGGCTTGCTTCGCAAGACGAAGCCCATAGGGAAATCTCCGGGGACCTCTTTTAAATGCTAGCGGTGGGGAGCAAAGCCTTCCCCCCCCCTCCGGCCTTCAGAAGAGGTCCAGGAAGGCTGGCGGGGGCCGAAGGCTTTGCTCCCCACCGCCAGCATTTTAAAAGCAGTCCGGGATAGCAGGAAGCGCTTCCCGCTATCCCGGACGGCTTTTGACGGCAGGAGAGGTCCGCGAAGCCTGGGCGCGCTGATCTCAGCGCGCGCAGGCTTCGGCATGCCGGCAACTCTCCGCAAGCAGTGGCAGCGCTGCCGCTGCTCGCGGAGAGGTCCGCGAAGCCTGGGCGCGCTGATCTCAGCGCGCGCAGGCTTCGGCATGCCGGCAACTCTCCGCAAGCAGCGGCAGTGCTGCCGCTGCTTGCGGAGAGGTCCGCGAAGCCTTGGCTGGACAGCTTTTGAAGGCAGGCAGGGGGGACAAAGACTTTTGCCCCCCGCCAGCCTTCCCAGGGGCTTTTAAATTGCCCCGGACAGCGGAGAAGTCCTCCGCTGTCCCGGGGCAATTTTAAAATGCCGCCCGCCAGCATTTTAAGATCGCCCCGGACAGCGGAGAAGCCCTCCGCTGTCCCGGGGTTTTTTAAAATGCTGGGGTGGGTGGGAAGAAAAGCCCTTGTCCCCCCCCCCAGCCTTCAGACCAGGTCCGGGGACAGTCTGTCCCCCGACCTGGTCTGAAGTCGGTTTCCCTAGGAACGCATTAATTGATTTTCAATGCATTCCTATGGGAAACCGTGCATCGCAAGACGAAAAACTCGCAAGAAGAAAAAACTTGCGGAACGAATTAATTTCGTCTTGCGAGGCACCACTGTAGATCATATTGGAAAATGCAGATATTTTAGATTTGGAAGGCCATGATATAAAATTTGGCTGGCGTGCATGTCTTTGGTATGTGTAATGTTTATATATATATATATATATATATATATATGTATATTCTTACTGATCCTTCTAGACTTTTTGGGACTAGCATTGATTAGCTACAGAGACTAGATACTGTGGGATTGTTAGATAGCATACAGCAGGGATAGGGAACATCTGTGATGCATTAGATGTTTTTGGACTATGACACTTATCAGCCCCAGGCAGCATGGACAATGGTTAGGGTTGATGGGATTTGTACTCTAACAACCTGGTTTAGATGTAGCTGGAGCAGCTATATCTCCTTTGACCCAGATGGTAGGAGGGATGCTTGAGGAGTTTGATTTCTGTGAATTCCAGTGTAGACTGATGTGATCCATACCTCCTGGATTAATTTGTTGATTAGAACATAATTATCCTTTGCACATTTCTACATCTTTCTGATACAGTTATTGGCTAATAATAATAATGATAATACTCAAGGTTTGGATTCAGCTCCCTTTTACCATCAATGCAATGTTGATGGCTGTTGAACTTGCATAAGAGAAAGAATATTAGTTGTGCAATATGAAATCCAACACATCGGTTGTGCCAGCCATTGCGCAACCAGTTGTTGCACAACAGAATGTATTGGGGCTACAGCAATTGATTGGTCCACCAGCAGCAAGAAGCATGTTAGCCTCCAGCCGTTCTGCAAGAGCAAGTCCTTTTGCAGCTAGCACACTGCCATGGGTCTTCAGCTTAGTGTGGCATTGTATTCCTTCCTCAAGGTATTAAATCTGAATATAAAATATGTTTGTACATTGAGTTATAACTGTGTGATTTAAATACAGTGGTACCTCTAGTTACATACTTAATTCATTCCGGAGGTCCGTTCTTACCCTGAAACTGTTCTTAACCTGAAGCACCACTTTAGCTAATGGGGCCTCCCACTGCCGCCGCCGTGCGATTTCTGTTCTCATCCTGAAGCAAAGTTCTTAACCCGAGGTACTATTTCTGGGTTAGCTGAGTCTGTAACCTGAAGCGTATGTAACCTGAAGTGTATGTAACCTGAAGCGTATGTAACCCGAGGTACCACTGTATGTATATTGTAACAAACCACATATTTAATGACATACTTAGGTATGTTCTTAATGTGGATTGTTTAAAAGAATTGCTTATTTGTGGGAAAACAGATCAGAACAGACTTATGAATGAATCTGTGAAGTTTGCACGGGTCGGGAACAAGCTGATTCATCCATACCTAGTCAGTGGCAAATATTTCCCCACAATCACTGTGCCAAATGGTTCAGATATGTGCCATATTCATAAAGACATAACCTAAGGGCCCAAATCAGACCAGAGGTCCACATGGTCAAAATTCCTGTTCCCAAGAGTAGGCACTCAGAGAAGTCCACAATCAGAGCATGAGTCCCATCACGCCACCTGTTTGCACTCAGAATTTGTCACTTATGGATTCCTTATTCATTATACAGAAATAAATATGCACACAGGAGTAAGACAATCACCTGGAGGTAGCTTTTCTTTGAGCAGTGCAGTATTCCATGAGTGACCACATGCAGACCCTTCTCTATGTCTCATACACATGTACACGTATCCAAATCTTAATGCCCTCCTGGCGTCTCAAGCAGCAGATGTGATCTTAATAGGATTTCAGTTAAGGTTGGCTTAAAATGCTTTAGGTCTGCTGCCTCGTCTTCCTTCCCGGGAGCAACATGAAAGGGTAGTAATATCTTCCTGGAATAAATCCTTATAATCTCCTTACCCTTCCCTTTGTGTCCTGTCCATGACATTGCATTGAGAAAAAGGAAAATATTTGGAGCCCTCCATTCAGGAAAGGGGCAAAATGTTATGGCTTGGCAGGGAATCACAATCACTTAAAAGTGAAGGTTTAATTACTTTGGGGACTGTGTGGGTCTGCGGGGGGAGGGGAGGTTATCTTGCTTCATCTTTCTTAATTATAATTTGGACAAAAAAAGAGAGAGAAGAGGGCTCTACTTCTCTGTCATTTATAGCATCTTATGGCATGTTCCATTAAACATAAGACCCATTGAAGCTGTTGGGTCTTAGTTTGAAGTTGATGCAGTTAGGATTGGGGTTTACAGAAAGCTGATTTACGCAGCCATCTTGTATATTGCAAAGTTATCATAAGCAGCCAACCTTCCCATAAAGCAATGCAGAGAAAGGTGCTTTGAGCAGCAGCTTTCAAACAGGACATCACCACTCCCCTGTCTCCAATCTGTGTGCCATTTTAGTTTGTCTTACTAGTTGCACGAAGCGTGTGCACACACAGAAACCAACCAGATAAAACTTCTCCTTGCTTTCTGTAGTGAGGGAAAACCAGTCCGGCTTTATTTCTGCCTGTCCTTGCAGGTGTCAAAGGCACAGGAGCCCTGCCAACAAAAAAAATATGGCAACCACACAACTAGCTCGTTCGAAAGGGCTGCTGCTATGCTTCATAATGTAACTGAACCGCCATCAAACTCAAGTGTCCATTCCAAAGGTTTAATCTGCCTGTACGAAAAGAGTCGTGCCATTTTTATTTTTGTCAAACCCCAAAACTTAAGTGTATTACAAAGCAGATGAAAGCAACTAATGTTTTAGTTGCACTAACCATGAATTAAGTTGTTCCAGCCATTAATCCGTTGAATAAAATTCACAATCGCTACAGATTCTTGTAGCTATTGATCCATGTGGAGAAGCTGACTCAAACTCCCTGCAAATCAGGAGTGAGCTCATCAACAAAGTCCTGGTGTGCGCGTGCGTGCGCACACACACTTACTGCCATCAGTTTTGCTGCTTGACCCTGCTTGGGAATTCCGCTGTGTTTCTCGCCCAGTGGGTTTGGCACACAAAGGTTTATGCCAGAATAAATTTGCATGTTCCAAATCTAAATAGATTTGAGTGCTAGAATTATTTAATTCTGATATGCTAGTTATTCATGCTAGGCAAGGTGCACTGTGTTCTTTAAAGGGTTTTGAACAGTGAGTGGGAAAGCATGAATTGCACGATAAGACAAAATAATGTGGATTAAGGTAAGAAAGGCAGAGACTCCTAAGCTACATTCAGACCATACATTTAAAGCACTACGATACCACTTCTGTAGCTTCTCCCAAAGATTCCTGGGAGCTGTTTGTTGAGGGTGCTGAGAGTTGCGGGGAGATTCGTCTTTCCTTCACAAGTTACAATTCTCTGTTTTCTGAAACTGTAGCTCTGTGAAGGAGATAGGTGCCTCCTGGCAGCTCTCAGCATGTTTAACAAACTACACCTCCCAGATCTTTTTGAGGCAAGTCATGCTTGTTTAAAGTATCATAGCTCTTCAGGTTGCCTATATGACTTTTCTGCCTCCCACTCCCTCCCCCCTTTTTAATAATGTAATGATGACACTAGGTTTCTCTGTTTTGTTTTAGTTTGTCATTGCAGCCAGAGTATTATGTAACATTTAACTTGGTGTGTGGGTTTTATATGCAGGAATAATTGATGTAATAAAAATTTTTGATATCTTAAAAAAAAAACAAAAAAAAAAAAACCAAGCTCCTCCAGTCTAGAGGGAAAAGCTTTCTCCAGACTAGCCATGAGCTGTACTCAAAACTAAGCCACGGTGCCATTTGCTCACAAGCCTTTTTAATATGGGCAAAAAGTTCAGACCCCCCTAGTAGCCTTGAATAAAATAATTAAATATGATTCTGTTTCAGTGGGAGTTGGGAGGTAAAGACAATGCTTTGCTGTCCAGAGACAAGCGAGAGGCTTAGAGTCTGTAGAAGCCTTGTTTGTTAGGACCCTGGGGCTGAGCTGAGCAGTTGGCTATGTTTTAAAAGGCTCCAACCTGGGCCTAGGACCGACAATAAATTTTAAAGCCCTGTCTCTGACCCCTCCCCAGAACGGATAGAGTTCCACAGAACCTCTGAAGCCCTCTGGTTTTGTTGCCCCCTCATATAAATAGCTGATTAGCATCCTATTAAGCATCTGACCCCATGTTAAATTGGTCACTACTTGGGTGTTCACCGCAGGACCATAAAACTCTGCTGTTTCTCCTGCAGACAAATCAATATTTATTACTGATCAGCCTGCATTTGCTCTGCAGAGCTTCACAGAGGGTCAGTGTTGCAACAGCTTGCTCTGGCCATTCATTAATGGCAGCAGGAAGAGACAACATGTCTGGCTAACTGGGGCAGGAGGAGAGAGCCCAAAAGAACATCTCAGCAAGCAGATAATGTGACTTTCTATTTTTAAAAAGATCTCTTGGAATGCTGTTGTTGTTTGCTCTTTGTGGCCAATTGTTCCGGCATAAGCTGGGCAGTTGAGCCCAAATTAGCCCTTGTAACAATTTATTTGCCCAAAGTCCCATCTAGTCCTGGGGTGGGGAACCTAGTGCCCTCCAGATGTGGTTGGACTCCAACTCCCATCATCCCTTTGGTAATGCTGACTGGGGCTAATGGGAACTGCAATCCAGCAACATCTGGAGGACACGAGAATAGCGAAAGCTTTTCAAGCACAGCCTTAGTTTGCAATCCTGTACCTTTCTACCTGACTGTAAGCCCCCACTTAATTTTAAGCAGACCGGGGATGAAGACCCTGTGGCCCTTGAGACATTGTTGGACAAAATCAATGGCCACCCACTGAGCCTCTTGGACTTGCCGATCAGAAGGTCGACAGTTTGAATCTGATTGGGTGAGCTCCTGTTGCTCTGTCCCAGCTCCTGCCAATCCAGCAGTTCGAAAGCACACCAGTGCAAGTAGAAATATAGGTATCACTGTGGCGGGAAGGTAAACAGTGTTTCTGTGCATTCTGGCTTCTGTCATGGTGTCCCGTTGCACCAGAAGCGGTTTAGTCATGCTGGCCACATGACCTGGAAAGCTGTTTGCGGACAAACTCCGGCTCCCTCGGCCTGAAAGTGAGATGAGTGCTGCAACCCCATAGTCGCCTTTGACTGGATTTAACTATCCAGGGGTCCTTTTCCTTTTACCTTACTGTGATTGCAGTATTACTACATCCAATAAAGAGAGGTCTCCTGGCTCAAGGGCAGAGCACATGCATTGCATGCAGAATGTCTTGAGCAGATTTAGTCCTTAGCATCTCTGCTTTATCAAGAGCCCATTCTCAGAGTCTCTTGGAGAGTCTGCTGTCCGTCAGACACTTCTGGGCAGGACAAACCAACGGTTATATGCCTCAGCACTGACAGAAGCACATAAAAGAGCTCCAGAGGTTCATTCAGAAGTGGATAGCTCAGTTGGTTAGAGCGTGGTCTGATGCCAAGGTTGCAGGTTCGATTGCTGTAGGCAGCTGCATATCTCTGCAATGCAGGGGTTGGACTAGAGATGATCCTCAGGGTCTACAATTCTGTGGTTCTAGGAATGTAGTCCCTGAAACTATGGGGATCCCTCTTCGCATCCAGCCTCCATGTGCCAGAATGTGCACAATGTGGCTAAAAGTGGCTTTCACACAAGGTACCTATTTATTTCAAACCTTAGTCTTCCAGCTTCCTTCCATCACTGAAATGTGTTCTGTGGGGTTCAGAGATGGCCTCCCATCCGGTCACTGCCCAGACCCAGACCTGTCTATCAGCTGTCTGTCTCGTGCTTTCAGACCATACCGTGGGATGTACCTCTGAGCAGCGCATGAGAATCGGGCACATTGGCCGGCTGGTTAGCAACACAGTCACACTCCTCCGCAATGCTGTTATTAACAGCAGGAGAGAAAGTTTGCTCTTTTTAAATTTCCCAAAAATCTCCTTGCACAGGTAGAAATCTGAGTTTCTTGTGCTTATTATGTTAGAGGTATCCACCCGTTGCATTTAAGGCGTGTACAATCTGTGTGCCTGTGTATGCCAAACCAACAAATAATTGGCTCTTTAATGCAAACACTTGTATGCGTGTAAAGCCAGCTTGTGCCTGTGTTCCTTGTAGTGTGTGGACAAGCTTATTGTTAAAGGTCTTTAAGAGAGACCTACAACTTCCCAAAGTAAACAGAACTCTTAAGCAAGAGAAAGTGTGTGTGATTGAGGCAGTAATATTTTGCTTCTGCTGCCCTCTCGTGGTACAATTCATTATATTTCTTAGCTTTTAGGGGGAACACATTTCAATATCCTTGCTTTATTGCTGTATGAACTGACATATTTTAATAGACAGAGGCTATGTAAGAGACAGAAATTCAGTGCACAAAGCTTTTCTTATATGCCATGTAAATGCCAAAATGTCATCCTAGGCAGCTTTCGTCAACTTGGTGCCTTCCAGATATTTTTGGCTGCAAGTATCAGTCACAGTCAGCACAGCTGTAAGTTAGACTTTTACATCAAAAACAAAAAAAGTAGGCTTGTGACTCCATAAACACTAACTGATTCCTTGTACCATCAAGAAATATGCTAGTTCTTAAATGCCATTAGACTCAGTATTGTCAATGCTTTGAATACAAGTATCATTATTTTCTAGCATTAACATTAAATAAGGGCTAACACTTTGCTGATTTATATTTGGCGAAGACCGTAGCTCAGTGAAATAAAGTCACTGAAGGGAGCCAGCAACAAGAAGCTAAAGACTATTCATGTTTTCTTTCCCGCTGTCTAGTTCCATGGTTCCCGAGAACGATTAAAGAACTGGATAGATTTGCCAATCAAATTCTCAGCTACGGAGCAGAATTGGATGCTGACCACCCCGTAAGGCAAAAAAAAGTCTTTCTGTTTACATACTTTAAAAAAAATGATGTTTCTAGTCCTCATGAGCACAGAGAACAACTTGAAAACATTATTGGTGTGCTCCAGACTGAGACCTTTAAAGCTTTAAAATCAAGACACCCTTTTCTTCCCCTCCCTGCCTTTGCATAGCATTCAGCCTAATGGAGAATTCTGAAGAACTTGAAAGCTCCTTCACTGTTTTGTGACATTTTTTCTTGGCCTAATAAAGGCAATGCCCTACTATGAATTCTGGATCTTTTTTTCTTGGATACTGTTGGGGTTTTTGTTGTTGATGATGATTACAGCTCTATTCAAAAACCCCATAGAGCTTCTACCAGCCAGTGCAGACAACAGTGAATTAGATGCACCAATAGTATGATTTGGTATAAGGCAACTTCCTATGTTCCTAAAAACTTGGGACAAATATTTTCAGAATGAACCCATGATGTATTATAGGAAATAATTCAGGGTTTTGTAATGTGTAGGTAATGTGTGGGAGCCATAAAAATACATGCCCTTACCCCCCCCCTTGTAGTCTGAAATGGTGCAGTCCCAAATTAGTACAGTTTATAAAACAAAAACGTGGAGCCACTCCAAAGGCTATAATTTATTCTAAGCCTATGGATGCGGCTCTCTGGCAGGTAATTTTTTTTTTTTAATGAATGAAACACAGAATCCCAAAGCAAGTAAACAACTTGCTTTATCCTTTCAGGCTAATAGCACCTTGTTCTGATGTCAGGAGACGAAGCGCAGCAGCCAGGATTTACTGCTATTAATTCAACGAATGCAGGATACTTGCAAATAAATTACACGCAGTGCAGCAATTTTTTAAAATAAAAAATAAAATTGCAGCTATTACATTAATTGGGGCAGTGTGATTTGTCTTTCACTAGATGTAGTTTAATCTGAAATGAGCTATGTATTCTGTACAGTCACTTGGCACACAAATATTTGGCAGAGTCCTAGAAGAAAAGCAGGGAGAATGGAGACTCAATTGCTCTGAATGATTGAATCAAAGAGTCCTCTCAGAGCTTCTGTCAGGATGAAAAAACGGCGCAGTAGTTGAAAGCAGGACAAAATCATCAGCCAAACAAAACCTCAGTGCACTGACATGAAAGCTGTATCCTGCATGCACGAGCTAGTATTAATTAGATAATGAGACTTTCCTTCTGGATATTTTGGGGGTGGGGAACCAAGCTGCAATTAGGTAATTTAGGATGTGAAGAAGCAAGCGAATCTGGAAACATCATCTTGTCTGTGGTGACTGCAGTGCAGAAAACCCTCAGGCTTATGGGCCAAAGCTCGCCTTCTCCTTCTCCTTCTCCTTCTCCTTCTCCTTCTCCTTCTCCTTCTCCCTCTCCCTCTCCCTCTTCCTCTTCCTCTTCCTCACTGGGCACCTGTAACTTCCCCTATGGCTGTGTTACAGTCAACAAAGCTTTGTGAAGTATCACTGCCATTATTCTACATACATTTATGGCTTAGCACAATGGGTGCCATCTACCGTATATTTCTTGTATATTATTTCCCTCCGACCTCATTGCCAACATTTCTTCCTTTCTCCCTCACTCCATGTGGACCTGTCAGTTTAGGATAATCTTCACGCATTTGATGAAATAGATTCTAGTCCACAATAAGTTACGCTTTTATTCATTTTTAAAATGCGCACAAGACGCATTCTGTTGCTTCTGCACTTCTTGTTAAAACTGCATTTCTGTTTTGACACTCACAAACCAGTGCTTTTTATTATTCTCTCCCCACCACCAGGGTTTCAAAGATCCTGTTTACCGGGCCAGAAGAAAGGAATTTGCAGATATAGCTTACAACTACAGACAGTAAGTGTGCAAAAGACAACAAGGGACAAAATGTATCCTAAAAGTCAATATATTATCTGTGATGAAATGGTGTGTGGGGTTGGGGAGTGTGCTCTTTCTTTGGATAATGCTGAAATATGTCTGGGGCACTGAGGATTTAAATATACATAGCATTGTGACGCTGGATTGCCTCTACTTAACCAATGCTGTCAATGGGTCTCCATTCTGACAATGCAGCAGTCTTTTTGCAGATATATTGTAGGATTTGGTCATATATAGAAGAAAGCCCTTCTGACTCAGTTAGAAATGGTGAATGTGAGTGTTGCATAGTCCTCGCTGGTTCTTCTCCAATTCTCATGGGACGATTACAAAAGTTATACTGGGGCTTGGGTGCGAATGAGGGGGAACAGGCATCTGACCCTGTCCTCAAGGTAAGCTTAAAGGCTGAGGACCAGGAAGGAAGGGGAAGAAGATGGAGAGGAAATGGTTGTGTAGAGAGTGGGTTACTCCAAACCTGGTATGTTTAGCCTGGAGAAGAGGAGACTGAGAGGAGATATGGTAGCCATCTTAAAATATCTAAAGGGCTGTCACATGGAGGATGGGGGCAGGCTTGTTTTCTCCTGCTCTGGAGGGTAGGGCCCAAACCAATGGCTTAAAGTTGCAAGAAAGGAGATCCCAAATAAATGTCAGCAAGAACATTCTGACAGTAAGAGTTGTTTGACAGTGGAATGGACTCCCTCAGCAAAGGTTGGGTGGCCATCTATCATGGATGCTTTAGTTGGGATTCCTGCATTGCAGGGGGTCGGACTAGATGACCATTGGGCTCCCTTCCAACATTTCTACATTTCTATGATTCTGTGAACACCAAAGTGTGGCTTGATGCTACATAGATGAGCCCTGTGTTCATGCATGTTCCCTCCTTCCTCCCCTCATATATATATACAGTGGACACTCGGGTTAAGAACTTAATTAGTTCCGGAGGTCCGTTCTTAACCTGAAACTGTTCTTAACCTGAAGCACCACTTTAGCTAATGGGGCCTCCCACTGCCGCCGTGCCGCCAGAACACAATTTGTGTTCTCATCCTGAAGCAAAGTTCTTAATCCGAGGTACTATTTCTGGGTTAGCGGAGTCTGTAACCTGAAGCGTATGTAACCCAAGGTACTACTGTATTTTAAACATTTCCCAACTCACTTCCAAATGAACAACAAATAAGCATAGTTAGCCATCTGTTCGGTGGGTGCACAGGCAGAGATTCACACTACTGTTCAAGTGTGTTTCATAACTATATGCTAACTTTAGTGTACTTTGTGAACTATCCAAAGAAGGATCACGATGGATAAATGACTCTGTTTAACCTGTACCATCACTTGCTGGCTGTCTTTGAGTAGAAAGGCAACTTATTTTCCATGGGTAGCATATACAAGAGGTTGAATACCACCTACTTGAACACACAGAATCATCGAATGGCAGAGTTGGAAGGGACCTTGAGGATCATCTAGTCCAACCCCCTGCAATACAGGAATATGCAGCTGCCACATACAGGGATCAAACCTGCAATGTTCTTAGGTGAATGGTTTGCTGCTAAATTAAAAGCGAGATGGGGAAATTGGAGCACTGCCATGTGGACTCAGGGCTCAATCACAGCACCAAATCTGAACTGTCTGACAGTCCAGATGAAATTGGCCAGGAACCTTTTCACCAAACCAATTCTTTCCCCCAAAGTGTTTATTTTCCCTTGCTGACTTTCCTTTCCTCTCTGTGCTTAAATCCTCCTTTGACTGCATTTATCCTAAAATTGCAGCTTACCGGAAATCAATTGGATTCAGATGAGGACCAAGCTCTGGCCTCGCAAAGCTTTGTTATTTAATGGCACTCACAGCATCAGAAGCAACTACAAAGCCCCAAGCGCCAAATGAAGCAGTGCCTCTTATGCTCCTGCCATTAAACAGGGGAGAGATGGGGAATGCGCACAATGTACATTAAAGCAGAAGCTGTAAACAGCATTGGAATAATTCATCACTCGTGGTCTTGATCTCATACTCTGTGACTGTCATTCCTTGTCCAGCTGCATTGTGAATTTTTTAATGGCTTGCTTCCCCTCCACTGTTTTGCATGGGATGGGCTGAAGAGGCAATATTCATCTAGAACTGATTTTATGCAGCACCTCTCTAAGGGGTCCTTGTGAACCTCTGTCCTGCTTCCACCATCCCTTCCATTGCCCCTTTACCCTTCTCTGCTGTTCATGAGAGCCATAGGCACTCCTGTCCTAGTTGCAGGTTTCCTTAGGGTGGGATTCTCTTCATAAAGATGGCCACCAGCCATCTTTCTCATCAGAGGTGGAAGCCAGCAGGTACACTGGATCTGCCCCATCTTGGCTGCTCCCAAGAGCAGGACTCCAGTATCACACCAAAGAAGTCGGCCAAGGCAGGTAAATGCCAGGGCCCAGTGACCTACCTGTGTGAGTCTGTTGCTGATTCCAAGCCCCTTGAGAGTCATAGAATCATAGAGTTGGAAGAGACCACAAGGGCCATCGAGTCCAACCCCCTGCCAAGCAGGAAACAAAGAGTGGCAGATGGATGTGAGTTCCTCACTGATACCCAACTCCTCTGACCATTGTGAAGGGCAATGTGAATGGACCTTGCAAACTCTAGAGCGGGATACATCTAGACCTGCCTTCACCAACTGGATGCCCCCCAGGTGGTTTGGACTAAGGCCACACACACAGCATACATTTAAAGCAGATGGCCACCCTCAAAGACTTCTGGGATCTGTAGAACTATAGAATTGTGGAGTTGGAAGGGACCATGAGGGTCATCTAGTCCGACTCCCTGCAATGCAGGAATCTTTTTGCCCAGCATGGGGCTCGAACCCACGACCTTGAAATTAAGAGTCTCATGTTCTACTGACTGAGCTGAGTACTTTGTGGAGGGGTAAGCTACAGTTCCCAAGATTCTTTGGTGGAAGTCATGTGTTTTCAGTGTGCTTTAAATGTATATCATGGATGTGACTATAGCTGCCATGAGCTCCAGCCGACACACCATGATTTCCTGTTGAGCCTTAAAAGAGGCTCAGGTAGCAATGTTAACATGGATAGAAGTGATTTCTCCCCTTCAACCCTACCCTGCTTTCCCCCTCCTTTTAAAAAATTATCTCTGCATAACCAAGGAATGTATATTATGAGAATCATTCATAGTGTGCTTGCTTATTATGTTACTATGTTGTATACTGCCTTATTTTGCTGTGAAGTGTCCCAGTGACCATTTCTGGTGAAAAGCAGCATAGATATCTCTAGAGAGAGAGATGATAGATAGATAGATAGATAGATAGATAGATAGATAAGATAGATTAAAGCAAGATATTGTAGAAGTTGTGAAAGTGAAATGGTAGCATTCCCAAGGCCCACACAGAAAAGGATGGACAATTTAGGATGGCGCTCTGCGAGCCCCATTTTTTTCCACCACCCTCAGGCCTCCCCTTCCCCTTCCCCACCTCACTGCCACCCTGAGCACTAGTCTATTGATCTTGGCAGCTTTCAAATTGGTGTCTGGCGGTGCCTTAAGCCTCTGCTCTTTTCTCTGGGCCCATGAAGGTGGCCTAAGGATTAATTAGAAAAGGTCAATGCTATAGAAACCACAGTGGTCCCGGTTCCCCCTCCCTCTAATTCAAAATCACGTTTAAAGCTCCAGAGATCAAGGAGGACTGGTGCAGAGACACAGAAAATTGCACAATTATTGGGGGGCTGCCATCAGGCTCCGGCTAAAACGAAGGGGGTAGGGAATGGTGGGGTATCGCTTGTATTTCGACAAAGAGCCTGGAGCTCTAGAAATCCCTCGCATTATCCCAGCAGCGCCTCAAACCCTATTAAATTGCTGGAAAAGACTCTTTGATTTGGGGAGGGCCGCCTGTCCATTTTTGAAATTATTTTCTGAAGAATCAGCCTCCCTCCGCTTTAATGTCAAGGCAATAAAGTGAAGCAGGTCAAAGGACTCCCTTCTCGTTCGAGGCAGAGCCAGACTGACAGCGCGCTAACTGTATGGAGGGCAGAGACAGATTTGCTGTTCCTGCTGAGCCATTACCTCAGCTGACTCAGAGGGCCACAGAATTTTAGGGCCAGGGGAGATCTGAGGGGAAAGCTAAGACAGCCCCTTGATCCTATGGCCAGTCCTCTGCGGCTATAGCATGGCTTATATATCAGATCAGCGCTTATCCAGATTACGAGAGCTGTGTGGAGTGAGAACAGGACAAAAGGCCCAGTCTTGCTGCCTGTAGAATGAGAAATGAGGCGGGAGATGGGGGTGCATGTCGCTGTGGTTTTCGGAGCTGAATGTGCTTGGTAAGAAGGGTCAGGAGTGCCAAAATATGGGGGGCAGCTAAACCCCATCCCACATATTCAGTGACAAGACACGGTGCACACACACCATTCAATGACCACCAGCTTTTCAGGGGAGGGCAGCCATCTCACATCTGTTATTGGGGGCCTCGGAGGGATCTGGGCCTCTTGGAGTTGGCTGTGTCCATGTCTGTGTTGTACACACAAGTCCCCACTTTCTTTGCTGGTAACAAGCTGCCTTTTGAGGGATACTGTTATTGTTTGGGGGGGCACAGTTGGCATCAGCACCCAGAATGCTTGCCAGGGGCCCAGCAGCCTTTTAGGGTCCACCCTGCCCCCCCCCCCATTTAAATGTAATTCCCCAGCTTGGCAACTCCAGGCAGCAACAGGTAGCCAAATCCAGCTGCCACTAGAATTTCCCACAATGCCTCCATTGTGAAGGGAAAGGGGACCACTCTGAATCACACCAGGTGGGTGCAGTCCTGAGGAGACCACAGAGGACAGCCATTGCCATTTCCTTCATAGGGGTGGAAGGACACTAGCAACATCCCTTCTCCCCTGAGAGGCTGCCATCGAGGTGGCATTCGGGTGGGGGGTTGCTAAGGAGGCAGCAGAACCTACCTCAAAGGAGCACACTGTAGATGCAGGAGCTGCAGTGGGCGAGGCATTTCTTGGAGGTCTGATCTGCTGCCCCTGTGTGTCACCTTGCCTCACAATTCTTTGACTCCAAGCTATCCTTGCTTGTTTATTTGTGCATAAGGTCGGTGCTATTTTCTACAAGAAAGAGTCACCTCATGGCTGAGGTGGCCCATCTTTTCGAGTCACATTTGGAATTTTGAGAAAGCGTTGTGGGTGCCATGCACAAAATGGCTGCCGCCGGGATGTGGCTAAACACAAAATGGCTGTTGTGGGGGCATGGCATATCATGAAATGTATATTTGCTGAGACCTACAGGAAGTACCGGCGTTTCCATGTGTTGCTCTGCTGAGCTGTAACCCAAGGTACCACTGTATTAAAAAAATTAAAAAATACGTATAAAGGTATTTATGTAGGTCTGCTTTGTATGTACCTTGGTCAGTAAAGCATGAGACTCTTAATCTCAGGGTTGTGGGTTTGAACCCCCACATTGGGCAAAAAGATCCCTGAATGGCAGGGGGTGGCCTAGTTGACCCTAATACCTTCCAACTCAATGATTCTAAGTCTTATAATCTTCCAGAGATGGGCAAGGAGCTCTGCACTCACTCAACAAATAAGCTGGGCCCTTTGAGTGTGCTCCATGCTAGTTGCATGTGAATGGAGCTAGATTAGTACCTGTGTGTATAACATATAATAGGGACCCTGTCCTGCTTCTGGCGTTAAGGGGTTTCAGTAAGAAAGAGAATATAACCCTTGTTAGTGGAAAGAGTAGGGACGCGGGTGGCGCTGTGGGTTAAACCACAGAGCCTAGGACTTGCCAGAAGGTCAGCGGTTCGAATCCCCACAACGGGGTGAGCTCCCATTGCTCGGTCCCTGCTCCTGCCAACCTAGCAGTTCAAAAGCACCTCAAAGTGCAAGTAGATAAATAGGTACCACTCCGGTGGGAAGGTAAACAGCGTTTCCGTGCGCTGCTCTGGTTCGCCAGAAGCGGCTTAGTCATTCTGGCCACATGACCCGGAAGCTGTACGCCGGCTCCCTCGGTCAATAAAGCGAGATGAGCGCCGCAACCCAGAGTCGGCCATGACTGGACCTAATGGTCAGGGGTCCCTTTACCTTTACCTTTACAGGAAGTACCAGTGAGCACACTGGCACCTGCCTCACCAAGTTGTTGTGATGATTCAAGGGAGTCAGATATGTTTCCTTGAGGGCCTTGGAGGCCACACCTGCAATCCCCTCTTCTATACAGTGATTAAAGGCACCTTATTTGGTGCTGGTGTTAATAGGAATGGGGTGCATTCATGCAGTAGCTTTAAGCTAACTGCCTTTTCCTCTTTTTTTCTAGTGGGCAGCCAATCCCCAGAGTGACATACACCGAGGAAGAGAAGAGAACATGGGGAACGGTCTTCAGGGAGCTGAAGACCCTGTATCCCACCCACGCTTGTTATGAACACAATCATGTTTTCCCTCTCCTGGAGAAATACTGTGGCTATGAAGAAGACAACATCCCGCAGCTGGAAGATGTCTCAAACTTCTTGAAAAGTAAGTAAAGGTGTGAAGATCCAATATCCGACATCGTCAACACAATTGCTATAACTGTGATCCTAATACAGTGGTACCTCGGGTTAAGAACTTAATTCGTTCTGGAGGTCTGAAACTGTTCTTAACCTGAAGCACCACTTTAGCTAATGGGGCCTCCTGCTGCCGCTGCGCCGCCGCTGCACGACTTCTCATCCTGAAGCAAAGTTCTTAACCCGAGGTAATATTTCTGGGTTAGTGGAGTCTGTAACCTGAAGCGTATGTAACCTGAAGCGTATGTAACCCGAGGTACCACTGTATTTGAATGTACTAAGGCTGCAATCCTATCCACATTAAATCCAACGATTCCCACATTTCTGAAAATTCAATGGGAATTAACTTCTGTGTAACCATGCCTAGGATTTTATTGCATAAATGATCCATAAGTGAGAAGGGCTTTAGCTCAGTGGTAGAGCATGTGGTTTGTACCCAAAAGGTCCCAGATTCAATCCTCAGCATCTCTAGGAAGTAATAATAATAATAATAATAAATTTTATTTATATCCCGCCCTCCCCAGCCGAAGCCGGGCTCAGGGCGGCTAACAACAATACCTTGGAGGACCTTGGAGAGACCTCTGTCTGAAATCCTGGAGACCCCCTGCCGATTGGTGTAGACCAGAGGTAGCCCATGTGATTCCCTCCAGATGTTATTGGACTACAACTCCCATCAGCCTCAGCCAACACCACCAATGCCCAGGGATGATGGGAGTTGTAGTCCAGCAACATTTGGAGGGCACTACATTGGCTTCCCCTGGTGCTGAGCTAGATGGACCAATGCTAAGACTCAGTAAAAGGCAGCTTCCTGCATTTTGTACAAGTGCCAAAGTGATTTCAACCATCAAACCGAAGAATTGTAGAGTTGGAAGGAGTCCCAAGGGTCAGCTAGTCCAACCCCCTGCAATGCAGGAATCTCAGCTAATGCATCCATGGCAAATGGCCACCCAACCAGTTTGTAATGCAGAGCTCCGCTGTTCTTTAAAGGCTGCACTGGATTCCGCCTGCGTCCTGTAGCTGGCCTGCTGTCTTCTCGAGATTTTTTGGCTGGCTTGGCGTTCAGGGTGTTTCACTCTACTCAATACATCCGCCATTCATCGCGGCCAATGTACACGCCAGAACCGTAAGTAAGCCAATGAAGTGGAAGGCCACGTTTTGGTTTTTGTGGTTTGTTTGTTTTTTAAATGTGCATAGCACCTTATGAAATCAGGGTGGCCAATAAAGGAAGAAATATATCGGGTACAACAGAGGGGGCTGGTTTGCGTAACATTTACATGTGCTAAATTTTATGTAGAGATGCAGGTTTAGAAAGAATGGCTGTGATTGAAATAGAAGCACAACCCATCTCACAGTAGTGGGAAAGGCTGGGGCCAGGTGAGGTGTGTACCTGCTCAGTCTGCGGTCCGGTTGCTGGCAGTGATTGATGGGCAACTTCATGCCTTTTCTCCTTGTGTTCAAAGCGTGAACAGTGTTTTTCACACTCTTGATCAATTCATACTGCTTTTCTTCTAGTGATGTTTGCCACGAACTCCTAGGACATGTCCCTCTGTTTGCTGATCCCAGCTTTGCTCAGTTTTCTCAAGTAAGTAAAACCCTTTAAAAAAGAGATGTCAACCGACAGACAACACCTTTCAGAAAATAATCAAAACGCATCATATAGGATCTAGATAAACACAAACACTCCAGATATTGTTGCCAAAGGACTGAGCTTCTAGTATTAAAACCAGCGCTGTTTTTCTAGAAAAAGAGGTGCTGGAACTCACTATGAACACCTCCCTTGTTTTCTTATAATGGCAATGGTGCTCACCTGAGAGGTGCGGGAACTGAGTTCTGGTGAGTTCTGGATGAAAAAAAAAGCCCTGATTAAGACTGAAATCCAATATAGTACACACTTCCCCCAGGGGGAAACACAGCAAACTAACTTTTCATTTGCTTCTGAAATGAAATGCTTTGTTTGTGGATTGTGCCTTAATAAACTTGCACAATATGTTCACTACTGATTTTTGTGGTGGGTATGCTCCTGAATAGAGACTCAAACTATCTTCTTTGATTGTGTCACTTAGACTTAAATCACATTTTGCATGACTGAGATTCAGTAACATTTCAGAATTTAAATTAGATTTTTTTCAAAAAATGAGTTTTTGCTCGATCTTTAAAAGTTGCCTCATTAATGTTATGTTGTTGTTATCATCATTGTCACTGATTTATTAACCACCTGCTATACAACCATCTCAAGGCGATGTACATTGAAACCGTTAAAAACACAAGCCCTATCAATAGGAGAAACTTTCAGAAGGGGTAAGGCAGTCTCTCAGATAACCTGGTCGTGAGCTGTATAGGACCTTATATGTTAGTACCAACACCTTGAATTTAGTTGTAATGCTATCAGCTATGAGAACTACATACTTTTACACTTTGAGTTTTCGTCTTCCTAAAACCCACCTACCTATATGAACGCATAACGATTCATAATCAGGAGGGGAGTGGTGGAATTATTCATTAATAACTAAGTAAGAAAGTCTCCTTAATTTTTTTGCCCAAATTAATTTTGGCTCTTTTGCTTCCCACACAAAACAAACAAACAAACAAACTGGGGGTGGGGAATGCTTTTTAGAAAAAAGAACAACTGAAAACAACCATCTTTCTTTTTTATAGGAAATCGGATTGGCTTCTCTGGGTGCTCCAGATGAATACATTGAGAAACTTGCTACGGTAACTTTAGAATTCAGGGGCCATCCGCCCCCCCCCCCCAGTTTGATCCAGCTCCAGATTCAGAATGACAGTTCCAGGCTCAGTGGGTGCAGAATGCTCTTGAAATCCCCCTGTAAAATAATAGTTTCATTTTGTAGACAGAGAAAATGTTTAAAATATGGACTATTATATTGATCTAGTTTAAGGCCAAAATCTTAAACAAACAGAAAATGCCAGGCATTTGAACTCTGAGCCCTTCTGCATGCAGATCAGAACCTGAGATCTGGGTCCTTTGGCCAGATGTAGAGCATGTGCTCTGTTGCTGCTGCGTGGCCTCTCTCTTCCGTCTCCTGTTAGTCAATGTGGCGACTTCCAGATGTTGCTAAACTACAAATACCATTAGCCCTAGCTAGCATGGTTGATGGCCAAAGATGATGAGAGTTGTAGTCCAGCAACTTCAGCAGAGCACCATATTGGTTATGCCTGCCGTGGCTTAAATGTGGCCTCTGTTCTTGCAGAGCCTGCCACTCTGATTGCAATATACCGCAACCTGCGTATTAGCAGTTGATCTCTGGAATGGACTTCTTCCTTCTACCTCGATGATGTTCTCATTTGGGGGATGGGCTTCAACATTAGGATTCCTTTATCTTTAATAATTGCGCAGAGTTTTGGCAGGTCATGCGTGTCCATTCCCAGTGCTTTAGTCATGGACAACTAATTATCCTTCCATATCCTGGTTGCAAAATGGAAGTGGTGATGAGCTGTCTGTTGGAAAGCAGAGGTTTGAGAAACCGCACCTGGCAGAATACCTTCATATATGAAATGATAAAGGTTCTGAACCCCCAAGTTTGAAAATTTGGCCATCCCTGTAGTTTTCCATCATGGTACCTGCCCACCCTTTATTTGGCTCATAGCCACATTAATGGGATCATCTGGGAGTTCATGCACAAGAAATATAATCTTTCCACTTTCCTTTATGCCAGGTTTATTGGTTTACTGTGGAATTTGGACTGTGTAAAGAAGGCAATGAGATAAAGGCATACGGAGCAGGGCTGCTGTCGTCATTTGGAGAATTACAGGTATGAATCCACAGTTGTTCCTATTTCTGAAAATCAAACCTTGTATTTCAATTTAAAAGTACGTATAAAGGTATTTATGTAGGTCTGCTTTGTATGTACCTTGGTCATTAAAGCATAAGACTCTTAATCTCAGGGTTGTGGGTTTGAACCCCTACACTGGGCAAAAAGATCCCTGAATGGCAGGGGGTGAGCTAGATGACCCTAATTCCTTCCAACTCCATGACTCTAAGTCTTATAATCTTTCAGAGATGGGCAAGGAGCCCTGCACTCACTCAACAAATAACTTGGGCCCTTTGAGTGTGCTCCATGCTAGTTGCATGTGAATGGAGCTAGATTAGGACCTGTGTGTATAACATATAATAGGGACCCTGTCCTGCTTCCGGCGTTAAGCGTTATCAGTAAGAAAGAGAATATAGCCTTTGTTACTGGAATGAGAGAGCAGGGCCTGCAACTAAACATTGTAATGAGAACATCAGAAGAGCTGGAGGCTCCGCTAGGGGCGCCTTGGAAGATGGCCGACAATACCATCTCTCCAGCTCACTCAAGGTAATTAAGGGGCTGATATGGGAGTAATTCAGCCTCCCGTTTTTCTCCTCGGTGTAAGGGGAGATGCAGCCACGTCCGCGGTTGCCCATAAATCACCCCCGAGTTCGAAAGAAGGAGGGGGTGAGGGCACTGGACGGAAAGCCCTCGAGCGAGCTCGGATCTCCCAGACGCTGTCTCCGAGAGCGATCCTAGTTGCATTTCTTAAGATAAACAATTGGAAATAAGAATCATCACACATGCTTCGAGCAAAGAAGGGTTTTTTTCAGCTGCTAATTAAATCTGCCACTGAGAAGTTAAGAGTGATGGAGTGGACTGGAGATAACATCAAAGAATAACATCTATGCCAGTATGTTGAAACGGAATGGAAAGGAGGGGGGGACTTTCTCTTTTCTTATTATGATATTACCTAACAACACCCCCCCCCCCCAGAAGAACCGTCAAAACGACCTAGAACAGAGATTGGAAAAATAACTGTGTGGAAATGAAAATAACAAGTAAAGCCTTTGTTTGTTGGAATATCTGGGAAGAAAATAAAAGGCTCTCTATGATGCAGTTTTCAACCGGGATCCGCCATTATGAGACAGACTATGTTGCGAGATTAATAGCCATAGGGGGAGGCAAGCCTTCACTCTGTTATCATGTTTGTACTCTAAGATTCCAGGCATATCTCCTCTGGAAAGGCTAATTTATGGTGCAACTTGTCTGGGAAAATTAAAGAGCAAACGCCTAGATTCTATTTCATTGGAGCTGGTAAAAAATGGTGTCTGCCACTCGAGGAAGACTTTTGGATCCGCGTGTTAAGATTTACTGCAAACAAAAGACTTACCAGTTCTAAAAGAAAAAGAAAACGGGAGAGCCTTATAAAGTTCACACAGAAGTATAATATTGTTTATTTTAACTCGTCTGTGGAAACAACTCAGAGGCTATTAAGAAGAAAAAGGATAACATCAAGAAGAATGGAAGATGGGACTGGTGAACATTAAAAGCAGCACAAATATGAGATGATCAGACCCTACTGAACTCGAAGCATGGGAACCCCCAACAAAATTTATAATTTGGCAAAATATTTGGATTTTATGATTTGTATTGGTATAATTTGGAATAATTAATGTGATATGATTGGATTGTTTAATGGAAAACTTAATAAAAATTATTATATATATAAAAAAAGAGAACATCAGAAGAGCTTGCTGGATGATGCCACCAGGGGGCACACATCTAGTCAAGCATCCTGTTCTCACAGGGGCCAAGCAGATGCCTACATAAACAGGACTTGAGCACAACAGCACTCTCCCCTCCTACGATTTCCAGCACCTGGAATTCAAAAGTATACTATCTCCAACAGTGGCAATAGAACATGGCAATCAGGGGCCCTCTCCTGTTTTTCTCTTCTAACGGTTGCTCTACATTCCATGGATCTGAACACAAGAACCTAAGAAGAGCCTTACTGAATCAGACCAAGGGCCCGTCTAGTCCAGCATCTCGTCTGTCTGTTCTCACAGTGGCCAACCAGATGCCTGTGAGAAACCTTTATGCTGGGTGTGGGTTGGCTGCGATTCTCAGCAACTGGTATTCAGAGGCATAATGCCTCTATCAGTAGAAGTAGAATGAAGGCTGCTCAGTCCTGGGTAGACTGGTCCTTGTTTTTATAAAGATTTTTGTCTCCTTGTTTTGTTTTGTTTTGTTTTGTTCTGATTTCTTGAACTTCTGTGAACCTCAGGCCTGCTGATATTTCCCTCCTGTTTGCTAACCATCCTTGTGGCACTTACCACAAGGAGTTTGCTGCTAGAAATAATAATTAGAGTTAAAAAGCTTGTCCTTCTGTTGTATGACAGTAATAATAATGATACTAATATTTATAATATATTGGTCATTTTAATTTTAATTGTAAACTGCTTCGAGGTTTTACCACATGAAGGAATATATAACCTATCTGCTTTTTTTCTCTTTAGTATTGCTTATCAAACAAGCCTGCCATTGAACCTCTCAATTTGGAAAGGACAGCAGTTCAAAAATATCCTGTCACCGAATTCCAGCCCATTTACTATGTTGCTGAAAGTTTCAAAGATGCAAAGCAAAAGTTAAGGTAATAATTTTACCTCCATTAGGATTTGGTTGGATCATTCAGTGTCCCTCTGTGTGTGCATAATACAGAAATTTCACAGAGGTCAGTGCTGCATCTTGAAACTCACCTGCCAGACACCCTGGGAATTAAAAACTTTTGTATGAAATGAATAAATCAACATTTATCTGTAGTTAATCTAAACTGGTGTTAGATAGAAAATGCCACCTGGAAGAGTGGGGAAAGAACATGTTGACTGGGGCTAGAAATGTGAAGCTATGGGCAGAAGGTAGAATAGCAAAATGAGATGAAAATATACAATGCAATCATATGCATGTGTACTCAGAGGTCAGACCTACTAAGTTCAGTGTTGCTTACTCTCAGGAGACTGGGTATAAGATAGGGCTGCCATTCATCCTGATTTTCCAGGACATGTCCTCGAATTTGCCTCCAAAAATGGCATCCTGGATTATTTTTCAGAAATCGGGCATGTGTCCTGGAAAACCAGCAACGGGGGTTAAATTGTACCGAAAATGCCGTAAGAAGCTCCAAAACTCAAAAAATGTTGTAGCTTTTACTTTAAAAAGCTCAACAATTTTTGGGGTGTCCTGGTTTTTACTTTTTGAAATACGGCAACCCCAGATAGGATTGCAATCTTAATCTTCCATCCCAAATCAAGGGAGGGGCCTTGATCCCTTCTCAAGACATGTGTCTCTGCGAAGGGCTTGCTCAGCTGAAGAGCAGGATGCAAATTATTCACTCAATCAGTATATTAATCCATAAACAATGCAACAAAGTTTCTGTTTTCTCCTTTAGGAAATATGCCTCAACAATTTCCCGTCCGTTCTCCGTCCGTTACAACCCGTACACTGAGCGGATTGAAGTTCTGGACAACACAAAGCAGCTCAAGAATTTAGCTGATGCCATCAGCAGTAAGTAACTGTATTTTAATATACAACGATTTTCCTTTGAAAATACCCAAACCCTGAGTTCTTTATGGGTCTGGCTCAGTGTCCACAGAGAACTCTTGCACATCTGTTTTTGCCCCATTAGTTTTAATGGAGCCTACAGATCCTGCTGCACACTAAGAGATTTGCTGTGGTTCAGGGACTGGGAGTCAAAACAGGTCATCTCATTGCAGGGGACAAATCTGCCTCACTGAACAAAACATAGTTAGGTGCAGTGGAAAGCGCATTGTGTATGGATGTGGTCTGAAGAATTTCATAAAGTGTTGAAACTCAGAGGTGGGGATGAAAAAAGGGGAATAAACAGCTGATACTGCTGTATCTTTTGCATGATTTTTTCCCCTGCACCAATATATACATGTTGAAAACCCTGCATCAGTAAAAGCTTAATGGCATGTAGGTATTTTCAGAGAAGTGGAAGGAGCTAACTCCTAGGGAAATCTGTTCCACAGTCCAAAAAGTCTCTTGGGGAGTTTTAACTAATATTTCGCCAAAATCCGGTTGCCTGCAATGCCAATCCCTAGCTCAAGCCTTGCCATATATCTGTTTGCTGGGATATGGCAACAAATCTGTATGCCAGGATACCACTACAAATTTCATTCAGTGCCAGATTTCTGTAATTTCCCAAGTTGAATGGGCTAACAAATGGATTTTTTAACAGTGAAATGAGGGCTAGACTTCTGCTAGATTCCAGATAGGGCTCATTGGGGAGGAAGGGCAGGACATAAATGCAGCAAAGAGATAAACAGAGTCAAGTAGGCTGCGCTCATGCCTGATGATGCCGTTCTCCCTCCTTGTAAATGCAATGCTCTTCTTCATCCTATATCACATTATCAACAACATTCATTGTTTTAAGACTTCTTGGGTGCCAGTACATTCAGTTTGTGCCCTCTTGGCTCCTTCTGTTTGGCTGGCTTCTGCAGAGTGCAGGATTTGGACTGAGGAGACCAAGATTCAAATCTATGCAGAGCCACCTGTGTCACTGAGTCTACCTAGTGCCATTGAGGTGATAAAATGGGAATGACTCCATTGTGCTCTACGGATGAAGGGTTGCATATAAAACTGTAGCAAAAGAAAGAGCAAAACAGAAGACTGACTTCCTTAATTTCTTTGCAGATGAGTTGGGACTTCTTTGCAACGCTCTCCAGAAGATCAAGTGAAGATGCTCTCAGATGCCTTTTGATGGCTCCAAGAGCCATGGGGGGACTGTACTGGACAGTGAAACAAATATCAAACTTTTAAAAAACAAATGAAGAAAGTCTACCAATAACTAATAGCATGTAGAAATGTGTTACATATTTAATGTGCTTGTCATCGCAGTTATAATAAAGGCAGGTGATAGTTTAGATGTCTGTAATCTCCATTTATATCATATGGCACATGCAAAAGGTCTCAGCAAGTTCCCCTGCAAAAATCCACAGCCATGAATCTCATGGGAAGTTTCATGGGGGGGGGGTTGGCTCCATAAGAGAAATGGGAAGAGCTCTGAGATAGAGTGGGACAACCTAGGAGAGGATCCGAGCAGGATGGGGGAGGTGAAACTGGGACCCTAGGAAGTGTCTGAGCCTGGGGAGGGGGCCAGTGGTCTAGGGAGCGGAGAGCTGGCTCCAGTGGCTGAGTGGGTTAACAGAATAATTTTTCCACCTTGTGCCATTGGACACCCCTAGTACATAAGAGCATCCTGCTTGTTGGATCATCAGCATCTTAGCATGCACTTAGTCATGCTATACCTCTTAGGTACCTACTGCATCTTATAACTTGTGCCTCCCCTATGGACCAATCTGATTTATACATTAAAGTCTTGGGTGGAAACACAGCTGGGAATTTAAGTGGATCTTTTGGCAGTGAAGCCCCAGACATATGCTGCCCAGAGTCCTTTGTTTTGTTGTTTAGGGTGCCACCCATCTTCATCCAGGAGTTCACATGCAAAGCATGGTGGGGGCTGTTCTCCAAATTTATTTTCCACCATCCACCTTCAGGATGCCTGTGAATGCCGGTGATTGGGCATCGCATGTGGGCAGAGCACTGTTGCGCTCATGACCTCTCTGTGGGCTTCTGCTCAGCCACAGTGAGAGCAGGATGCTGGACTAAATGGGCTTCAGTCCCGACTCAGCAGGCTCTTCTTGTGTCCTTAACCTGTACGCAGCTTCATGCAGTTTATTTTTCTTTGAAATGACAATCAATAAATTGCTAGGTAATACACAGCGATAGCCTCACCTGCAACTTTTATTTCTCTCAGCTTTTTCTGTTTAAATTACTTGGCGTTCTTGTTTGTTTGTTTGTTTGTTTGTTTATATCATCGTTTAAAGCTGTTTGCAATGCTATGCTAAAGCTGATTATGTGATTTTGAACCATCAATAAATTACAATTTTTAAAAACCCATGATGCATTAGAGATGGTTTGCTCTTCCTGTTAAGTTCCTGTTTGTGCTGTTTCAGTCTCTCCTACATCAACACATGTCAACACAGTCTCCCCCACATGTCAACATTTCATTGGATGCCAGGATCCTTCCAGAGGAGCGGTGCAAATAATTTCTCTCCGTGAATGAGTTGTTGGAGATGAAGAAGCATCAAAGCATGGGCATAGCGCAGCTGCCCCCCTTAAATCAAGTAAATCAAGAAAAATACTTAACTAACTGAGGTACTTTCCCCCCAACGTAAAGCCTGCCTCTCAACATAAATCCCGGCTGCACCCCTGCATCCAAGATTCCTGCGTTACAGGGGGTTGGAATAGATGACCCTCGTGGTTCCTTCCAATCATTCTGTGATTCTGTAAAACCCTGCACATATCACTCTCTGGGGCAGCTGCTTCCCTTGGATTCTCCCTAGACAGGAAGGCACAGCGGAAGCCAAAGAGATCTGAGCTCAGTGGGGAGAGCAGGTCTCTCCTGAACAGCCACCAACTACCAGGGGGGCAGAGGAAGAGCCTCTGCGCCTAAAATCAGTTTCCAGTAGTTCTTTTAAACGGCCTCTTGAGAGCTAAAAACTGAGCATCGGGGAGTGTTATGACGATTCCACAACTGGGGGGGGGGGGGAGGCAACGCTTTGAAGTCTGGATGTTGTTGGAAATTTGCATAATACATTTGCAGTGAGTAATCGTAGCTATCGAGGGGACTCAAAGCCAAGCGGTGGGTGGGTGGGTGGGTGTGCGCGCGCGCGGAAATGAAACAGATTTTACTGGGCAGGATCCAGCCTAAATCAAAGGCTTTAAAGAGACAGAGAGCACGCTATGGGTACCTACCTGGGAGTAAGCCCTACTGAATTCAATGGTACTGACTTCTAAGTAGACATGGTCCTGTTGAGCTGCAACCCACTTACTAGGAGCTCCTTCCACGGAAATTCCCGGGACATGGTGGTGCAGAACTTGGGTCGATCCGCGCCCCTGGTGTGTAAAGCTGTAGTACGGAAGACAAAAGACATTGAGGAAGTCTTGATTTGAGCGAAAGCTTGGGGATATCCGAAAAGATCAGCTATATTATATCTCGGGGGACAATGCTATTGCAGCAAATTTCAAGCAGAAGTCTGGGAGGACCAGGGATTCAAATAAACGCTTAGTTCATTAGATGGTTTGGGAGACGCGATAATTCGCACTTCAGGACTGCAGTTTACTTGGATTTCCTGGACCAACTCTCGTCTCTGGTGGAAATGGCCAGTTTCCCCAAAACCTCAGGGTCTGGAGCCCCGCTGGTGCAGGCATGGAATTTAAGATTCTGCGATAGAAGATCCTTCCTCGGTCTTTTGATCGGTGACGTGCGTACCGATTTCATTGCGGAGATCACCTTCCCAATGCTGGGCTCTTCCTGGAAGCCTCTTATTTTGTCCATTTAGTTTAAACGATTTTTATATCACTTTTCACTTACAAAAGGAATACCAAAGCAGTTCGCACCATAATAAAAACATAGACAATATCCAAGGAAAAGTAAAAAAATAAGCAATAAAATCAACAGTAAAAAAAAACACCCACCCCACGACTAAGCGTTATGAGTTTCGTTAAAAAAATATTGGAGACGCGCATGCTATAACATCTAACATTATTCATGATGGCTGTATTCCACAATTACTATTTTAGTGGCCCACAGATCGCACTCTGTGAAGATGAGACTGAAAGCTGTTTTTATTGTATTTTATTGTTATTTTCACGACATAAAACCTCACTGTCAAGGATCACCGAAGCAGATCTCGATAGGAATAAAATAATACACATCACTGCAAGAAATAAAAATATACCATCGGGGTTTTTGTTTGCTTGTTTAATTTAGAACTGACATCTTCTAAAAACAGCATATCGCTTTGTCTCCGTCTCTCTCCCCACTAACTAGCTTTCAAAATAAACTCAGCTTACTTTTTTAAAAAAAGACAAAATGTCACCGATTCTTTCCATAGCTTTTCTGCTAAAAATGACCAGCTACATCGTGCCTAAGTTAAAAGTGGCTGATTTTATCACCAACTGCTGTAGGGCTGAACTGACATTAAAAAAAACCCCTCTTACATTTCAGCTAAAGGAGTCTCGTCGTTAACTCTTATATATGCACTACATTTATCCCCTCCCCATCCTCGAAGAAGCTCAATGCGGCATTCACGATTCTCCCCCTCCCCACTTTATCTTCACAACGACCCCGTGAGGTAGGTTAGGCTGAACGACAGTGACCGGCCTTAAGTCATCTGTGCGCTTCATGGCTGCGTGGGAATTCGAACCCTGGTTTCTCAGATCCTAGTCCGGCCCTCTAACCACCCCCCGCACGCCATTTAGCTTTATTTCTTCGTCTTTTTAGGACAGACAAAAAACAAAAAAACCCCATTACTTTCATTCTGTCTTCGAGTCAGCCCCAGTTAGAGGCATTTATATCCAGCTGGTGATATATTTGCCCATCCCTAGCTTAATTGTAGGTGCCTATATAGTTTAAAAATATGATAAATAGATTTTAAAAAAAAGATTTTTCAGAATGACTCCATCCGGCTTGATCCCAGAGGTTAACAACCAGTCACGAGAGGAAAACTACACATCGGGGTAGCTGGAATATATACCAGCTTGGCATGAATCTGTACTGCGTTTTTAGGAGGCAGTTTCAGCACCTCGGACAGGAATTGTCTAAGGAAGAAGCAACGATTGCGATCTATATCTTTGTCGCATTGCTATTGCATTTCAGGGGGTTGGGCTAGATGACCCTCGGCATCCCTTCCAACTCTATGATTCACACACACACGATTTCATTGTCCATTTCTTCACAATGTTAAGAACGAACGAAATTGGGAGGACAGGATGAACAGCATTTAAACAGAACAAAACAAGGAATAACTCCGCTGCTGCCCCGCTCTCTATCCAAACGCATTGAGCTAAACGGAGCTAATATATTTCAGTCCGTTTTTACACCGCAAACCTTTCCTTTGTGGTTGGGTTTCAAGTGAGAAGATTTAAAATAAAGGACGGATTTTTATTGTTATTTTTTAACCCTCCCCTCTTTAGCCATCAGCCTCCTTCTCTCACATCCAGAATTATCGTTCCAGTCACTGATTTCCCAAAAATCAGGATAAAAAAGTCCGATAGCAGCAGCAGAAGAAGTCATTTACATTTTCCCTAAATACGTATGGTGTTTGTTTGGGGGCACCTGGCGCTAGGAGAAGCGCCTTCTGCCTTACTGGCGCTACCTTGGAGAGCAGATCTTTATTTGTCAGTGGCCAGGGAATCTGCCTTCGCTCTCTTCTTCTTCTTCTTCTTCTTCTTCTTCTTCTTCTTCTTCTTCTTCTTCTTCTTCTTCTTCTTCTTCTTCTTCTTCTTCTTCTTCTTCCCGTCCGTTGTCTCCCGAGACGGATGCCAACTGATTATATTTATTTATACACCGCCTTTTTCCCTGATAGGGACTCAAGGCGGCTTACCTTCTCTCCCACGTCAGGTGAGCGACCAATGTAGTACAAAACATTTCGCAAATGCACAGCTGCCATCCAAGCCGGACTTTCTTCCTCACAAGGCAACACACAATTGCAGATCCATACCGGGTGTAGGGTGCGTGTGTGGACCTTGGAGGCTCAGAAGTTTATCATAGTTTAACGGACTCAGTTGTTTTCAGATGCCTGTTTAGTTTGACGGGCTTTATACACGAATCGACCAATTAATTTCTATTCAGTTTATCAGTCCCTTGAACATAAAGCATGACATAAAATTAGCGGAACACACTGCAATAAAACACTACCTAAATCTATATCGTTACATCTATAGCCAAGAGACGCACATGGTTCTCCTTCTTCCCCTTTTTATCCTCACGACAGCCCTATGAAGTAGACTAGGAGGAGAGACACAAACTGGCCACTGGCCACCCAATGAGCTTCATAGCCAAGTCGTGATTTGAACCCAAATCCTAGCCGGAGTCTATAACCAAGCCACCATACTTCTGGCTGTTTGTCGTATTTTATAATTCGACTGATAGTCCTTATCTTATGCTCTGAATAGGTAATCTGTACAGATGGAGGGCGGGTTATAAACACTTTTAATAACACATACATACTAGTCAATAATCCATTTATTTATATCCCCCATTTCCCTGGAAATATATCTGTGCTCAGGGCGTTTTTTAAAACCAAAAAACCACAAACAGTTGTACAACAAGGAGACCTACGGTAATACAAATCTAGAACCACTAACTAAAAAGAAACCCCAACAATGCACAATTTAACAGACATTTTAGCAATTTAACACCCAATCGGTAAGGTCAAAATATCCAGTCGAGGGGGGAACTCGTCCTGCTTTGAATGATAATTATTATTAAGGCGCTGCTTGGAGTACCTTCCCAAGTTGGTCCCCCCTACAATTCTCCTGGTGGGACTGGCCACACGTGAGCAGAGACTGCGCCATCTCTCGCCCCTCTGAGTTACATGAGCCCACGTCCCAAGTGCTGAAAGACAAGCCCCAGCCGTCGTGGGCAGATTTCCCTCTCCCCACGAACAGCTCCTCGATTGCTTGCCGAGCTGAGCCAGGTGCGTAAAGGCGCTGCCGCTGCCATTCCTAGAAGGCGCCGGGCGCATCTGGCAGGTGGGCTCTCCGCCTCCTCCCAGAAAGAGCCAAGACTGCTTTGCCTCGACTGAAAGGCTGAGGCAGGACATCTTCCCCGGCAGACCCGCGCGAACCTAGAAGAGGAGCTGCCTTCGAGGATGGAGCCGTCGACCAAGAAAGACCCTTCTGCGGGGGAAAGAGAGGCTGGGGGAAAAGCCACACTGACTCTAACCTTCGCCCTCCGCAACGGGAGAAAAGCTGGCATTTCTAGGGCGGCCAAAGTGTTCGAGGTACATCTCTTAACACATTGATAAGGAGCTTGAGAGTTTTATTCGTCCCCATTTTTAGCCTGCCCTGTTAAGCTGAGATTGGCTCAAAGTCAGGCGGTGGCCTTCATAGCTGAGTGGGGATTTGCACCCTTGCCTCTTTTCATCCTACAAGACACTGATTTCTTTCTTTCTTTTAAAAAAGGGCTTTATATACAGGTTCGTAAGGCTTCTTTTGATATTGATTTCCTTTTTTGCAATAGAAAGCAATGAAAATGTTTTTAAGATCTTAGCAATGGAAAAATAATAAATAAATGTCTGTAGGGGGCAGCGTATTAGTTTTCAGTGATTATCACCAACATAATTCATTTTTTTATGAGTAAACTCCCAGCACGTTTGCCCAAAACTGCATCAAATGTTAATTTGGAGCAGGGTGATGAAGAGATGATGTGGAGATAATTAACAACATGCCCTACCAATGATTGTGGTAGAGGAATATTTGCATATGAGCCTCAATAACATAAGAAGATTCCTGCTGGATCAGTCCAGGGAGGACCACGGAGGATCTTTTCCAGTACCCACACAGTGGCCAGCCAGGTACCAATGGGAAGCCCACTAACAGGAGCCAAGAGCTACAGCCCTCGGCCCACTGGTGGTTCCCTGCAACTGGTACTCTGAGGCTTACTGCCTCTGACAGTGGGTGCAGAACATGACCATTAGGGCTAGTGGCCAAACTTTTAATGGTGCTTTTGTTAGAGCTGCAATTCTATGTGCACTTAAATGGGCACCAATCTTACTCAAATACAATGCGATTTAACTTCCCAAGTAGAGATGTGTAAGTTTGTGTAACACAGTTTCCAGTTAAACAAAAGGTTTGGTTCCAGATTGCTCACGGCAGTCAGTTGAACTGCGAAGGAGGGGAAGTCGAATTCGTATTTTATTACTTTTATTTGCTTGCTACTTTTGTTGATTTGCTTGTTACTTTTGTGAACAACCCTGTGCATTGCAATTGCACACACACACACACACACACACACACAATACGTGCTTATGTGGGACTGCCTTCTACAGGTGTTCGATACTAAAATCTATCACCTTGAAAGCAGACCAGCTAAAGTATCTAGAAACACTGCAGATGACCTTGAATTTTTCGTGAGATGTGAAGTTTCTAACTGCGAGGTCAGCAGCCTCACTAATTCCTTAAAGAGGGTGGCGGAGGATGTGAAAGCCAACCAAGAAGAAAGAGGTAAGCAATCTGTTGGGCTTCTGCCTCACTTTTCCATATAGACACATAAACTTTTTTTTTAATCAGTAGTGCCATATTCATAAGGGTTTATTAAGCTGTAATACCAAAAATAACCAAGCCTGTTTTATGATTGCTGAAGACTTGGATATGGGAATCCTTCACCCCTCCAGGAGTGATCATCCCTGGCCAGCATATCTGGGGTGTTCCACAGATGTATCTGGGGTGTTCCATCTAAATTATATGAGCTGGAGCGACTCCAGCTCTTGTTCAACCCTCACATGATGTAGGTATCTTTGCACCACAGTGCTGGATAAGCTTAAGACGGCCCTGCATGCACTCACAATCTGTGGTTTACTCCCTCGGCTGCAGCACCGTGGTTCCCAAAGAAAATACGAGACCTTGACAACTGCCATCATCTGATCACCAAATTTGACCCTGATCTGGATCATGACCATCCGGTGAGTTATTTAGACCTGGTGGTAACTGAGTGCTGCCCAGTTCATAAACGCTATGATTTGCAGATCTAACTGGACAGTTGCTAACTTCATTTGCCCTTTTCCGCAAAGCCTTTCTTTATTATCTCACCCATTGCTGAAATGTAGACTGTTAAGTTCCTTCCAGCAAAGGAATTGCAATTGTGGAATTTGCTCCTCTTGGACCTGCCAGGGCTTCTTTTGCTGTGATTCCTGCGTTGCAGAGGGTTGGTCTAGATGACTCTTGGGGTCCCTTCCAACTTGACAGTTCTATGGATTGGCATTGGCACCCCTCAGTGTTGACATTTGGGTACCAGTTGAAGATGCACTTGGGGAATAAAAAGGAGTGGGTACTCTGTGGTTACTGTAGATGTGATATTGTATTATGGAAACAGAATGACTTAGGTATATGTATATATACACACACATTTTTAATCATTGATTTAATCATTGATTCCCCCCCTCCCAGATACATTATACCTTACCCTGAGCTACTTTGAGAGGAAGGGCGACTCAATTATTACTATAAAGCACCCTGTACACTGATGGTGCTGTCTGCATGTATTAATTAATCAGGAATAAGAATATAGCAAAAACTTGAAATTGAAACCAATTTGATTGCTCAATCCTTTGGGCATTTTCAGCTTCTCTTACCACCAGGAACCATGATGATTATTCACCATGTCTCCATTAAACTCCATTTTGCAAGGATGCTCGAGAGCCACCACCCTAAATTTTAAATCAGAATTTTTGCACTACAGGTTTGCATTTCAAAATTCACTTCCTCCTCCTCCTCAAGCTTAATTATATGCTGTGTGTTCCAAAGCACTTGCCAGAACTGTAAATAAATGGTCAGCATATAAATACAACATGAACAGAGTCCTAAACATAAATAAAATATCAAACACATTTCAGAAATATTTTTATATCTGCGTTAGCAAGCTAACAAAAATACAATTAAAAATGTCCTTCAAAACATGTGAAAAAATATTGTAGGTGCCTTAGCAGTCTTTCAGTGCAATCCTATAATATTAGTTGGAGGAAAGTCCCAAAATGTTCACTGGAGCTTATTCCCTGGTTGGTGTGTTTGACTGCAATCTTTGTAGCTGGGGTTTGTCAGAGCCTTGCTAGATCCTTGCCCTCCTAGGCCAGGTAAATTGAATTTAGACAGGCTCTCATTATCAGAACTACATTCATATGCTAAGAATTTGGATCTCATTATATTATATTTTTTGGCTATTCTACTTACTGCAGTGAAGTGTTGTCTCTTAATCCCTTTTTAGGGCTACACCGATGCAGAATACAGGAAGCGAAGGGCTTTTATTGCTGACCTGGCCTTCAATTTCAGACAGTAAGTGCACAATAAAACAAAACAAAAGCAATAACCATTCTCTCATTTTTCTTCACCGCTCACACATTCATGCAGTTGTAGTATAGTTTTCTGCAGACTTCTGTAGCCTCCTCTGTTGGAAAACAGGAAGACAAGGGAGAACTTCTAAAAGATAGTGAATGTCTGTAGTTATTTTTAGGAATATTTTGGCTTATATTAATAATAATAATAACATATATTAAAATTATGTGGGGCACGGCTTACCTAGCCCCACCAATATTTTATTCAAGTTGGTAGCTCTGTCCTTGATCTACAAACAATAGGCCTCAGGGACACTGTCTAGAAGATCCTTGGTATCTCCTATATCTGTAGCACATAAGGGACTTCTAATCACATGTGCTCTTTTACAGGGGTGACCCATTGCCAAGAGTTGAGTACACAGCCCAGGAAACAGCTACATGGTAAGTGCCTGGTGTCACAATGGGCCCACAAAAACTGTAGAACATGTGGGGGGAGGTGAGAATGTAAAATGGCTTCTTCCCACCTTTCCATTCTTTGGCATGGAAAATAATAGTGGTACCTTGAAACATATGCAACACGGCACATCTGATTCCAACATCGGAAGCAGAGGCCCCTCTCAAGGCGTCCCATCAAAGAGAGATTCATACAAGGGAGAGGGCCTTTTGAGTGGTGGCCCCTTTTTATAGAATGCCTATCCCAGTGAGGACGCCTGCTTGATTCTAAGGACATGCCTCTTATTCCAAGGTTTTGAGGGAATATGATGATCCTGCTTATTGCCATTTCTCGGTGGAGGGTGCTATTGTGGTAAGTCATCAAAGGAGCCAACTCCTAGGGGCTGTGGGGGCTTCAACCCCCACAATAAAATATTAGAGGGGGCCAGGCCTCTGTAAAGTTGATGGGCATTCCCATTTAAATGATGTGTGTGCAATGCAACATCTGATTGATTATGCAGGGTGGGGCTTACCTGGGCATCCCACAATAGTTTATTCAAATTGGCACCCCTGTAAGTCATCTAGAGACATTTTGTATTATTTTTATTGTTGTTTAGTCGTTTAGTCGTGTCCGACTCTTCATGGCCCCATGGACCAGAGCACGCCAGGCACTCCTGTCTTCCGCTGCCTCCCGCAGTTTGGTCAAACTCATGTTGGTACCTTCAAGAACATTGTCCAACCATCTCATCCTCTGTCATCCCCTTTAGGTGACAAATAAATAAGACATTGGTTGTGCAATGTACACATCTAATGTAAAACCAACCAGTGGGATTTACAAAGTGCATTAAGCAGCTGTAGACTGTTGACGCAGTTAGGTGGCTGGTGGCCAAAATGCAAAACAAGTTTACAGTCTGTGCCTGGGTCCAGTATGGAGAAGAGATGGGTATACTGACCCTCACCCCATATTCCAACTCAAACCACAAATTATTATTCCAGATTCCGGGACATCACACTCTTTGGCCAGCTCAGTAGCTCAACAAAGTGGCTGATTTCCCCCCTCCCCAAACAATTCAAAAGGTCTCTGTTCTAGCTACGCACTTCAACGGGACAACTTTCATACAGTGGAGCCATCAGAGCAGGTCTTTAGGGTGGAAGCCAGGCACAACAGAATGAGCAGCAGGGCCGAGTCATCCACACTTGCTTTTCTGCACAGGTCTGGAATTTCTAGGTCCACATCGGGGTTTTTTGTTTTTTGTTTTTGCTTTGTCCTGCTGCCTTCCCTGGGAAAACTCATTTTTTATTGCTGAATCAGAGCAAATGACAATCCACAGAAAACCCGATTGCTGCTTGCTTCGATTCAGCAGTAAAACACAGTTTTCCCCAGGGAAAGCAGCAGCAGAAATAACCCCAGGTCACACCCGGATCCAGAAATCCCTGACCTGTGCCTAAAGACACAGCACAAAAGGATAAGCCCTCAGTCTAGAGCTGATGGCAGTCAATATAATGCCCTCCAGATATAATGCCCTCCTGCCCAGTTCCCAGTACAATGCCCATCATCCCTAACCATTGCCATGCTAGCTGGAGCTGATGAGAGCTGTAGTCTAAAGATCTGGAGGACACCAAAGCACCACGAAGGCACCACAGTTAGTCTGGAGTCTAAATGCACTACTCTCGGGATCACTTGCATGAGGCCACCAACATGGATGGCTTTGAAAGAGGTTTAGAGAAATTCAAGACCACTAGCCATGACAGGATGCCTCCAGGGACCACTGATGATGTGTCAAAATCAGAAATCATTCTGATTTCCTCACAGGGAGGATTAGATGATGTTGGGTTACCCTACACCCTGCAGGGCCTTTCCTCACTTTTGCCTCTGGCCCTGCGCACCACTGGCATGGTTGCCCACAAGCGAATGCAGTTCTTGAATTGAAACAGATTATTCACCCCTGCTTTTGATAAGAAGAAATAGGACAGAATAATGGACCAAATATCTTGCTGAATTCAACCATGCTTCATAGGAAGCACAAGTTTGGTTTCTTGCTCTCCTGAACTTTTCCTGACTGATTGTGGAAGTGGTCTAAAGCTCATAAAGCTTCTTTGGGGTTTTTAAAAAACAGTACTAACAATAGCCACCACTGGAAGCTGATGTCTTTTGTTTCTCATTCTTTAACATAAACTTCACTCTAGTCTTGATATTTATTGAAAATAGGGACAACCATTATGTGATGCTGAATCTCACCCTTCATAGCAACACTTGAGCAACTGAGAGAGGGAGGGAGGGAGGGAGGGAAAGAGAGAGAGAGAGAGAGAGAGAGAGAGAGAGAGAGAGAGAGATACAATACAAACAGGAAAAGGTTATTGGCTTAGTCAGCATTTCCAAGAATGACCTCAATTTTCATAAAACAATGTTTACAAATGTGTGAGAGCCCCAGAGCTGAATAAAAACCTACTTCCATAAGGCTCCATGCCATTGCATGATTATTACATGCTCTCTTTCCAACAACTAAACATGTTTCTTCCCTTTAAAGACAGTTACTTTAATCATCTCTGACTGCTGGCCCTGCTCGCTGGGGCTGATAGAGTTGGAGTCCAACAATATCTGGAGTGCAACAGGTTCCTCATGTCTGCTTTACATGGCAAAACATTTTCCATGTACATACAGTCATACCTCAAGTTGAATGCGCTTTGGGTTGAGCGTGTTCGAGTTGCACTCTGTGGCAACCCGGAAGTAACGGAGCGCGTTACTTCTGGGTTTCGCCACTTGTGCATGCGCAGACACTCAAAATGACGTCACGCGCATGCGCAGTAGCGGCGAAACGCGACCCGCGCACGTGCAGATGCGCCGTCGCATCTTGCGTTGCATTCAGGATGCAAATGGGGCTCCGGAACAGATCCCGTTTGCATCCCAAGGTACCACTGTATTGGTGTTCACTGTGGTGAACACCATGAAATACCAGTAGCAGATGTCCATGTGGTGCCCTCATGGATCCAGGAGGGCAATCAAGATGATCAAGGGTCTGGAAACCAAGCCATATGAGGAATGGTTGAGGGAGCTGGGTATGTTTAGTCTGGAAAAGAGGAGAATGAAAGGAGATATGATAGCCATCTTCAAATATCTTAAGGGCTGTCACGTGGAAGATGGAGTAATCTTGTTTTCTCCTGCTCTGCAGGGTAAGACCCAAACCAATGGCTTCAAATTACAAGAAAGGAGATTCCAACTACACGTTAGTAAGAACTTTTTGACAGTAAGAGCTGTACAAAAGTAGAATGGACTCCCTCAGGAGATTGTTGACTCTCCTTCCTTGGAGGTTTTTAGGCAGAGGTTGGATGGCCATCTGTCCTGGATGCTTTAGTTGAGATTCCTGCATTCAGGGGGCAAGCACATTGCCTTGCCTCCGGAGCTGAGGGGGTCCAGGGCCACACGATGTCACCACACCATGTGTAAATGCCCCACAACATGTGCACATGATGTCAACATGCCCCACAGCCCTGTCGCTGTTATGAGAAAAGTGTGTCTTATGTGTGTGGTGTATCATTTAAAATATGCTGTTTGCAAAGAGGTCCGTTGTAAGCTAACACCGCTATTGTTTTCAGGAGAGAAGTCTACCAGAAGCTAAGCAGTCTTTATCCCACTCATGCCTGCCACCAATATTTGGAGGCCTTTCATCAGCTGGAAAAATACTGCGGGTATCAAGCAGATCATATCCCTCAGCTGCAGGATGTCTCTGCTTTTCTAACAGGTAAGGAGGTATGGCACTAGGACTGCTGCCAAGTAAGGGTGTTCTTATGGGTGGCAGAAGTGAAGTCTGGAAATGGGGGGTTTGTAATGGGGCACACCCAACAATCGTTCAGAATTGGCTCAAGCCCATTTCAGAGCCAAATCCAAAACTGAGGTGGGAATGAGTTGACCTGTCCCATCCTCCACCTCCTAAAATATGGCAACTAGTTTCCATGCATCACCTTAAAAGTCCATTCACCCCCTTTTTGGGCAGGCGGCTTTGTGGGTGGGCCCCAGGCCTTCCTGGCAAACTGACCTATCACAGGCCGGATTGTATTCCTGCTGCCAAATGGCCCAATGGTGGCAGGAGTTAGTGGGTGTTCCCTTGGGCACAGGACCAACCGACCAATTGCAGCCCTTGGTGTTGTGCCCAGGGAAAGTTTAAATGCCTGGCCAGCATGGCCTTGTGGTCTTTCTCTTGCTGGGCCAGTTCTCCCACCCTCCGTCCCTCAGATTAGGGTTTTTCATGGATGGTTCAACCTCGATATGGACAATGTTGGTCACCTAATTTTCCAGGGGCCAGGCAGGAATTTCCCCCACTTGGCTAATTGGCACCGCCATTTGGGTTTTCGCCTACCTCATAGCAATCATCGCAACTTTGTATGGAGGATAGGCATTGGGTAAGCATAGTCTTGGTTGGAGGGGAGGTTGTAGCCTCCGTTTGCCCCTCCACGCATAAGGGTATGCTGTTAAAGGGATCCGGAAGGAGTGGCTCCTGCTCAGTTCCCAGATGGAGGCTAGGGCCATACCACTCCTCCAACAGGGACCGCTTGGGGGACACCCCAATTTGACGTAGGTCATAGGGCATCCCTCCCCCCAGCTTCACCCTTAGAAACACTCCCAGAGGATGAGCGGGAGTGACATGTGCAGTTGCTTACCACAGTGCCTATGGCCAAACCTCACATGTGTAACCAATAAAGTTGTGGCCTTATTTGATCCCAAACCAATATGCTGCGTGGTGTCTAGTTATTTATACCTTAGGGAACAGGGTGGTCACGGGGCCTCGATACACAATATGGCAACTGGTTTTTGTACTACCTTGGTACAAAACTGAAGGATGGCTTTCCAAGTCATTAAAGAGAGAGAGAGAGAGAATATTGTGTTTCTGGAATGCATCTATCCAGATACTAGACATGATTTTATTCCAAGGAACGAAAACCTATAGCCCAAAAGGGGAAACAATTTTATGTAGCTGTATTTGGAGGCTAAGAGTAGAAATTTGTTCCTGTAAGTTCCTTTAGGGCAACTGGTCATGAATTTCCTTTCAACTCTCTTTGGGTTTCCAGGAGATGTTAAGCATTCAGTCCAAGTGAGCCCCCTGCCCACCTCCCCTATTCTTTATTGCAGCCCAACTTTTATTGGAGAGCCATAAATCACAAATAAAAGTTTTTACAAGTTACTCTTCTTACTAAATCCTTCTCCCTTCCTCTACCCCAGCTCATCAACTCTTGAGCTATCCATGTTTAAGAACGTGACTGTGTGTCGTGTGTGTGTTGTTGTAGTTACAATTTTATATTACACAATTTTGCAAGTTGCTTGCGAAGAATTATTAACCTGAGAAGGTTACAGAATCTTTTAAATAATTTTTATTAACCGACCAATCAAATCAAATCAAATCACATCACATCACATAAATTCCGAATTACAAAGCCGAATTTTAAATTTTGTTGAGGGGACCCATATTTCAAGATCCGAAGGGGGATTCTGATCATCTTCTTGCTACTGCGTTAATGTCAGAATCAGTCCAAACAAAGTTCATAATTCTATCCAATCTTATCTTGCTGTTTCCGCATCTCATCTTGTTCATATATTTTCTCTTTTTTCTTTATGATCTCTTCTGATAATCTCCTTAAGCCAATAAACACCAATAATAATCCTGTGTGAATTTTCTGTTCATCCAATCCTCAAATCGAGATGGTTTCCATATATCATCGCATTCATAGATAACATCGCTCTTTCCACCATTAATCACAGAACTGTCGTTCTTTTTTTTTCATATAATATTTATTATTTTTCCAAAAACTTAAACACTAAAAAGACAATACAACACATCAAATAAACAAAACAAAACAAAAACAATAAAATAAATCAAACAATTTCATTATCCCATCTTTCATTCACTTATTTCCACAACCTCCTCACACCTCCTTTTTGTATTCCACTTCTATTAATTATTTCAGCAATTCCTTTCCATCTTCCTCTGTTTTCTATCCTATAATTATCTTAACTCATTCTAACCTTATTTTTCCTTTAATGCTCTGTTAACCTATCTGTACTTAATTCCTTATAACATTTCTACTAAAGCCATATAAGTTCATTCCAACATTTTTCTAACATTCATTAATTTTACAGTACAGTGGTACCTCGCAAGACGAATGCCTCGCAAGACGAAAAACTCGCAAGACGAAAGAGTTTTTCGTTTTTTGAGTTGCTTCACAAGACGAATTTCCCTATGGGCTTGCTTCGCAAGTTGAAAAACGAAAAAAACGAAAACGTCTTGCAAGTTTGTTTCCTTTTTCTTAAAACCGTTAATACCCAGGGTGACTTCGAGGAGCAACTCATAGCACGCGGTGTGGTAGCGTTTTTTGAGGAATTTGAAGACTTTGGTGATTTTGAAGACTTTGGGAAACCGTGCTTCGCAAGATGAAAAAACTCGCAGAACGAATTAATTTTGTCTTGCGAGGCACCACTGTATTTCTGTAGATAGTCTTTAAATTTTTTCCGACTTCCGGGTCAGCGCCATTGGTGAATGGCGGAGTTCCTCTGACCGGAGGAACGGGCTCCGTGGAAACTGGGTCTTCCCGCCGCGGCGAAGGTGGGGACCTGCTAGAAATCCCAGGCGGAGGAAGCCTGGGAACGTGGGGCTCGGCAGGGCACCAGAAGCGCCCCCCTACTCGCGGGGAATCCCATCTAGGGGCTCTGGAGCGAAGTGGGGTGAGAAGCGCGGTGCTACGAACTGACTGCTACTTTCACGGAGTGAAGCCGCACAGCCATTGCCAGAGAGCGCTGACTTTTTCCTGTGGACAATTGGACTTAAAAACAAGTACCCGTGAGTAGAAACAGAAAATTGGATCAAGAAATTGTTTTAATTTGGTATCGAAGCGGGAAGGTGCAAACAGGAAGTCCGCCTTCCGCTTTTTTGTATATAGACTAAAGCAAAAATTTTGCAAGCTAAAGCCGGGAAGCTGTCAAAAAAGGACTAAATTTCCTTCATTTAGAATCACTGAAACCCCCCTTGGAAGCAGGAGAAAAGGGGGGGGGGACTCTGTTTAACCCCAGCAGGAGAGGGAGTGAAGAAGGATAAGTTTCCACCATCTCTAACCTGGGAACGGGGTGTCAGAGACAGAAACTGTTGGAGAGGTTCATTGACTGCGAACGTAACACTTTGACAGACAGCTAATGAAGAGAAACAAGTCGATTCTAATGTTGCCTTTTGCATTTTAAAGAAACAAAATATCTGAAAAACGTCTGAAATATCTGAAAAATGAAAGTAACTTTCCTTTGTCTTTAAAAAAAAATGGATACAAGTAGATTGTCTCCTCTAGAGGGAGCTTGTTAAATTGTTGTTGCAGCATATTTGAGACCCAACATCTGTGAGATTAAGACTGTGGGAACAGTCTTTTCTGACCTTGAACAAAGATGAGCTGGGAAAAAGACTGGCTGCTTGCTCTATGCAAGACAAATGCTTTGCTGGAACAGATGCATGAAAAGATGGACTTGATGAATGAGAAAATGGATTTGACTGTTGTGGTTAATAACATTGATACAGAAATCATCCAAGAACCAACCTATCAACCTGTACTAACTGGGCAAGTGCAGTTGACAATGGAGGAGGATGCGGCTGCACCTCAAATAGTACAAATGGAGAGACCCGAGGCCCTACAGGAGCATAAGCCGTTGCTATTGAAGATTGAAGTTGGAGTGGGCCAAGGGAAGTCTGGAGATGAGGAGGTTCCTAGCTTTGGAGAGATCTTGAAATTTGATTTTAAATTCATTTTGGATTATATCGAGGACTGTGGGGAGTGGGACTGTGGGGAACGGGTGAGCTGGATGAAGGGTGATGGAGACAATTTTGGGTTGGAATCCCCCAGAGACCTACTCCTCAATGAGAAAGGAAAGAAACTAAGACAGAGACCAACAAGAGACAAGGAAAAGGGCAAGCACAAACAAGATGAAGAAGAATTGCAGAAGGGACATGGAAGAGATTTAAGGGCCTCGGACATAAGGCTTCCAGGTTGATGGACTAGATGGAATGGACAATAAGGACTGACATGACCCGAGACCAGGAAGAAGAGACGCTGGATGATGATTGGAAGAGAATTTATAATGGAAATGTTTTTATTTTAGAATCAGCTAATGAATATTAGGGAAAATGTGGGAATGAAACTATACGACTCTAGCAGAAATGATATCAGGAGCTATGTATATTTGAAATTTAAGATTTAAGTCTTAAGGCACTTAGGGGTAAGATAAGGTTAAATAAATTAAGGTAATCTGAATAATAGAATATGGGGAAAGATGGTAAGGATTTGTTGAGTTAATTATTAGGTTAAATTGTTAAGATAAATTTTATAACAAAAATTGAGAAAGATGGAAAGAATTTGCTGAAATAATTACTAAACTAGAACACAAAAACGGAGGTGTGAGGAGGTCAATGAAACAAGCAAATGGAAATTATGGATATGCAATTTGGGATTTGTGTGTTTTTTCTTTTTTTCTTCTTTTTTACTTTTTTTATTGCTGTATCGTCGTATTGGTTTTCATATTTTGTGCTTTTCTCTTTTTTATTGTCTTCTTTTTCTTTTTTTGTATTGTAGTGTTGTTTTTATTTTTTATTTCTCTTGTAATTTTGAAATTATCAATAAATATTATTTTTTTTAAAAAAAAAATAATTTTTTTCCAATCTTCTTCCACCGACTCTTCTCCCTGGTCTTGGATTCTGCCAGTCATTTCCGCCAGTTCCATATAGTCCATCAACTTCATCTGCCATTCTTCCCGGGTGGGTAAATCTTGTGTCTTCCAATACTTTGCGATGAGTATTCTTGCTGCTGTTGTGGCATACATAAAAAAAGTTCTATCCTTCTTTGGCACCAATTGGCCGGCCATGCCCAGGAGAAAGGCCTCTGGTTTCTTCAGGAAGGTATATTTAAATACCTTTTCATTTCATTATAAATCATCTCCCAGAATGTCTTAATCCTTGGGCATGTCCACCAAAGGTGAAAGAATGTGCCTTCAGTCTCGTTACATTTCCAACATTTATTTTCGGGCAAATGGTAAATTTTTGCAAGCTTGACTGGTGTCATGTACCACCTATAAATCATTTTCATTAAGTTTTCTCTTAGGGCATTACATGCCGTAAATTTCATACCTGTGGTCCATAACTGTTCCCAGTCAGCCATCATTATGTTATGTCCAACATCTTGTGCCCATTTAATCATAGCTGATTTCACAGTTTCATCCTGAGTGTTTCATTTCAACAGCAAGTTATACATTTTTGACAATTTCTTAATTTTTGTATCTAGCAATTCTGTTTCCAATTTTGATTTTCCCACCTGGAAACCAACTTTTTTGTCCAAATTGTATGCCTCCATTATTTGATAATAATGGAGCCAATCTCGCACTTTATTTTTCAATTTTTCAAAGCTCTGCAATTTTATTCTGTCTCCATCTTGATCCAGAATTTCCCAATATTTCGGCCATTTGGCCTCCATATTGAGTTTTTTCTGTGCCTTCGCTTCCATTGGTGACAATATCCAATGCTCTCTGCTCTAGTCCTCTATCTGGTGATCTTCTGTCCGATACTCTTGGCTCTTTTCCAAATCCCTTCTGCAGATCTTCTTCGTATTTGTACAGAAACTTCGCTTTATCCTCTACTGATCTTATTTTTATTTTCCTACCTTTGAAACTGAAAGATAAACCTTGGGGAAACTCCCACCTAAAGATAATTTTATTCTTTCTCAGCAGGGCAACAATATCTCCGTAGTCAGGCCTAAGATCCAAAAGATATTTCGGGACATCTTTAAAAATTACCACTCTTGACTGTTGTACTTCTAGGTTCTTCTGGTAGTGCCAACCCAAAATTCTGTCTCTCTCTTCTTTAGTTCGAAGAGTAATCAAGCAGTCTCTTATTGTATTCTTCTCTTTTTCCCCTCCTCTTCCAAGTCTGAAGGCCCTCACAATTCTAAACTCTTCTTGTCCCAAGTTCAAGTCCCCAAAGTTAGCAAATTCCTGTGTAAGAAAGTCTATCAAACTTTCCTTCTCGAATTCAGGTAGGCCTCTGATCCTCAGATTTGTCTGTTTTTCTTTAAGTTCAATCATAGCAAGCGTCAACTTATGTTCATCAAGTTGCCTCTGTAGGGCTGGGACTCTCTCTCTCCAGTTGTGTTACTTTACATTCAACAGTAGCAGCTTTCTCCCTAGCTTCCTCCGCAGTCTGCCGTATCAGAGTGGATTCCTGTATCAATTTCTGAATAGTTTCTGTATTGGTATTCACCTTTAGTCCCAGATTGTTTATGCTTTCCGTATTTAAGTCGATTTTAATAGTTGCAGCATCCACTTTCTTATTAAGCTGTTCCAATGAATCATTTATCTTACCTAATGCAACCGCTAATACCTCTTCTGGCAACATTCCTCTTGATCTTGGTTGTGCTGATATAGACACAGCAGCAGCCGGAGGAGTAGGGTCTGGTATTGAACTTCTCCTAGGTTGCTGCCTAATCTTCCCAGACCTTAATGTTTTTTCAGCAGTTGACAGATCTGTTTTTTCCTTTCCATTTGCCATAACACTTAAAAGATTCAAGGTCAGTCCCAGAGTCTCACAGTTTTTTATCTTGCAGCTGGAAATTCCCCCAGCCCTACTCTTGTAAAACTCTTGTAAAACAACCAGTTTCAAAGGCTTCCACTAGGGGGAAACAGTTTCTATTTATTTATGTTATTTTGTATTAATCAATAATGTCCTCTTTTAAACACAGTTCAAACAATCCAAAGTTAGTTTCAGTTTTCTGTTACTATTTACTCCTTTTTAGAAACAGCCAGAGTCTGTAGAAACAATGTATTTCTCTTACTTAGCTAGCTGTCAGTGAACGTTCTAAACGCTGTCAATGGACATTCCAAAAGACGTCAGTCCAACTAGCAGCCTGTTTCCAGGGCCAGAGCGGCAGTATTCTGACTCTCTTCACTCTCTCCTGCAGGCATACTCAGTCCACAACTTCCCCCCCCCTCTTCTCCTGCCCCAAGGGGGGGTTAAATGTTCTTTACCGTTGAAAGTTTAGTCTTTTACAAAGGGCTTTCCAAGGCTTTAGCTTGCAGCCTCATTGCTTCAGTCTATTTACAAAAGGGGAAGGCGGACTTCCTGTATTGAACCTCCCCGCTTCGATACCAAATTATACGTTTAAAAGTCCAATTCTCCCGTTTCAGCTCTACTCACGGGTAATTACTTTAGAGTCAAATTGTCCCACAGGAAAAAGCCAGCGCTCTCCGGCAACAGCTATGCGGCTTCGCTCCGTGGAAGAAGCAGATGATTCGAAGCACCGCGCCACTCACCCCATGTCGCTCCGGAGCCCCGAAATCGGGTTTCCCCGCGAGTAGGGGAGGCGCAGAAGGTGCCCGCCGAATCCCACGTTCACAGGCTTCTCCCGCCTGTGATTTTTTGCGGGTCTCCGCCTTTGCCGTGGCGGCCAGACCCAATTTCCCATGGGGCAAATTCCTCCCGGTCAGAGGAATTCCGCCATTGCCGATGGCGCCAACCCGGAAGTCCCCACAGAACTGTCGTTCTTAAGTCCCTCTGAGAAGTTTCACCCACAATATAAAAACATCTCTATTTCTCCTCCCAGACTTAAGTCCTCCGACAGAACTTCCCAATATGGCGATGGTATTTTTAACTGCGTCATTCCAAAGCCCTTATACATTCCACGCTCTTCTTAAAGCATGCTTTGGTTAGAAAGTTTATCTCCACACAGACATAAATCCACAGCTTAAGTCCTTCAAACGACATTTCTGACTTGTGAGGGGTGGGGATTCTTGTTTAATCACATAGAAGATTACAGAATCATTTAGTGAGAAGAACGCATGAGCTAAGCATTCCACAGCTAGAGTGGAGAGCCCTGTCAGAGGAAGGTAAAGACATGTTTCCATGGCATGATGGCATTCATGAAAACTGAGTAGTGCATGACAGGTTGCATTAAGTGATTTGGATGCAACTAATAAAACAAATGCCTATTTCCACCACAACCCTATTCCGAATTTTACTCCTCCTTTAATTTTCCTTGCAGAAAGAACTGGCTTCAAGCTGAGGCCAGCTGCAGGGCTTCTGTCGGCTCGGGATTTCCTTGCTAGCCTGGCATTCCGTGTCTTTCAGGCAACCCAATACATAAGGCACTCGTCTTCTCCAATGCATTCCCCAGAACCGTGAGTAGGAGTTGGGTGATCATGTAATCATTCTCAGGTAGTGGCCAGGGAGGCCAGCAGTGGCTCTGTAGAAGCTGGTTCAGTGCTTCCATATAGCACAATATTTCTGTTCCGCTAGGATTGGGGGTTGTGAGGACTCTATTTCTCAGAGAGCTGCTGGGAGCAGGAAAAGGTTATAGGAAGTCTACAAGATTCTCACTCCGTTTGGCATGAGCATAGTTTTGACTGTCAGCATCAATCTATTATGATCTGTTCACACGCAACACCCTTCTCTGGCCACACAGTAACTTCTATTATCCATCTCTCCCCACCTCCCACCCCGCCCACCATCCGTATTTTATTACGTTCCACTGGCTTTCAGATCTTGAGATCAGGATCCAACGTCAGCATTTGAGATGCCAAATTCCTGTTTCGTTAGAAGTTGTATAAATGGGTCTGAGGTTCAAACTTCACTTGGCATTGATCACATGCAGTCCCCTCCCCCAATTTCTTTCTTTCTTTCTTTCTTTCTTTCTTTCTTTCTTTCTTTCTTTCTTTCTTCAAGATGACTAAGAAAGGAACAGTCCACTAAAGCCACTGTCACTATCTCCTGCTGTGTTGTGGAGTTTAAAGAGGCATTTTAGGTACATTCTCTGGACTGAGATGTGGATTGTCAGGTAGATGCAAGGGACACATCTTATGACTCTTAAAAAACAACAGCACATGTTTTCGTTTTCACAGTGATTGCTGTCACGAACTGCTGGGCCACGTTCCCATGTTAGCTGACAAAGAATTTGCCCAGTTCTCTCAGGTAACCCACCCAAAGCAGAATGAGTTACAGGCTTCACTCAGGTGGGATGTATTATACAGGAGGGATGGCATGCAGTAGCCTCCAAGACTCAAAAAGAAGGGAACAATGTAGATATTAGACCTATTTTTATGGGACCAGGGTCTGGAGAGCTCTAAACCTCAAGTGTGAAGAGGTTGCACAGTTCCTTGGTCTGTCCGAAAAGCTCGGTTCAACCCTGAGTGTTCAGTTCAACTCCAAATTATTTATGCCAGATAGTAGGGGGCCAAATTTTTTGATCCAGCCATTTTCAAAGGTTTCTGGGGTTGGATGAGCCAGAAAAGGCATCCTGGAATTGTCTGTGCTCTTCAGGGGCATGGCAATTTAAAGGAAAAAAATTAGGTTGGGGATTTATCTGATAGATATGTGGCAGAGGGTTATAGATGGCCTTTATTTTACCTAAAAAACCTCCAAAAACCTTTGCTTTGAGTAGTGTCAGAGTTGCACTAGCAAGAGCATTACTTCCTCCTTGAGAATGGACAAATGGTAATGATGGTACTCAAGATGACATAGTTTTGCTAGGTTTCATTAAGGTGGATATGGGTCAAGTTTTTTCTATTCTGTGTTCAGCTGAGCATGGTTGGATTACATCACTTTTTAAGTGCAAGTGATCTGGTTCCTAGTTCTGTGCTGATGTTGCCAGATGTGTCTCAAATCACATGGGTGTGGACCAGGAAAGACTATTTCATACTAGAAATTTATGTATCCTGCACACTTGGCTAAACTATAATCCAAATATGCAGCATTAGTTCTGAATTTATTGTTATTATTATTAACCTACATGATATACTAGATCAAACTGGGGGAAATTACAGGCATACAAAACTACACAGATGTTTGTCCTTAAGCTAAGGATCATACCTTCAGTGTAATAATAATTCACAGAAAAGGACTGTATGTTCTCATAAATCAGCCTTTCAATAAATATATTGATCCTTGATCTAGGATATTGGATTAGCTTCTCTAGGAGCATCTGATGCTGATATAGAAAAACTGTCAACAGTGAGTATATATATATTTATGTATTTTCATACTGCAGGTATAATACTAAAGGCTCAAAATATAAGCTATTTCAAGCTCCCCTAGAAAATGCTCAGTGGTTGGTTTTTATTTTTATTTTGTTTTTTAATGACAGGACATTTGGGTGTCTTGAGGTAGAAAATGCAAATTGCATCCTCCTCATGGATATATATATATATATATATATATATATATATATGGTGTATATATATACACACATACAATTATTCCCAAACAAACCCAGATGGCATCCCAATGACTTATGTATGGAGCATCCATCCTAATTTGTGTACACAAAGTTTGTGTGATTCTTGCAATGTGATATAGTCATGTTCCAGCACAGGGGTAGCCAGTAGCCGTCTGAGTATTCTTGGATTCCAACTCCCATCAGCCCCAGCCAGCACGGCCAATGATCAGGGATGATGGGAACTGTAGTCCAGCAAGATATGGCGGGCACAGCATTGGCTACCTGTCTTCTAGCATGAGAAACAGAACCCAAGGTGCGTCTAGCAGATGCTTACTCTCAACTTCCCCACCCCAAAGGACTAAGTTTTGTTGGCCTCAACATTTTGTTTGACATTGTGGGGAAATCAAAATGTTCACCAGCAGGCAGCTGTCTTTGAGGAGCAACGTTAACGCAGATAAATAAATTTGCAACCTAATGCAGTGTATTTCCAGGGACATAGTGACTACATACAATCACAGGATAACCTGGTGGGGCTGGGACTTCTCAGAGGAGTTTTCATAGTCCACCCCATTACTCTTTGTATTTACCAGCTCTACTGGTTTACTGTTGAGTTTGGACTCTGCAAACAAAATGGAACTATTAAAGCCTATGGAGCAGGTCTCCTGTCCTCCTACGGGGAGCTGATGGTAAGTTCGTTTCCCCCTCTCTCCAAGTATTATTTTAACATTAGATAAACTTACAAGCTGAGATCACTAGAGGGCAGCATTACGCCTAATGTTCATGTGCTTCATTTCAAAATGAATCTGTCCCTCATGTTTCTAATTAATGGTGAAGCTACCAAGTCACCAGCAGAGTGTAATAAAATGATGAGGTCAGGATATTGAAAACATTGCTGTGGTGTGTGTGTTCCCCCTCATCTGAACTGCTGTTGTTTCTATTAAATTTATATACTGCTTACAAGCCAAAATGGCTTCTAAACAGTTTGCAACTGTAAAATCAATTATAAAACCTATACATTCTTTAGAAAGCACAATAAAACAATTCCACCACTGCATCAAAACATCCCTAATTCTAAAAACCATAACCCTAAAATAGTTAAAAACAACTAAAACAATAAGATCAGAAGATGATGTTCCAGGGGAATGCTAATCCAAGCAGATGTGTCTTCAAAAGCCGGTGGAATGCCAATACTGATTAGGGTGCCCCAATCATTGCTGATTGCAGTGCTGCTTTCCTGAACCAGGGCCCAACACTGTGGACGGAAACGTACAGTGGTTACCGGTGACTATTGGAACTGATAGAGCAGAAAGGCAAGCCAACAGGAGGTGGAGTCAGAGTCAATGATAAGCAGAGTCAGAACCAATGGAAGGCAGAGCCAACTGATTCTTGTTTTGTCTCCATCCTCCTGCTGAGTACTGCAAGGGCAACACTGGGGCATTTTGGGATTCAGTGGAAAGGCACATTTTAAAGGCCTTTACAACCTCTATTTCCACACTTTTCTTTGCTGCTTGTTTTGCTTGCCCTGAAGCTGGACCGTGGCTTCCAGGGTCCAACATCAACTCATAAAAATGCCAGGCAGCTGCCACTGCAATTGCCCCAAACGCCCCAGAATGATGTGATGTTGCTCTGGGGCATTGTGGGCAATTATAATGGCAGAGTCTGGCACTCACTTGGTAAGCAAACCCACCCAACTCCCTGTGCAGTGTAAAGAACAGCCACCTGCTGAAATATGAGGAGGGGGACAGCAACTGTTAGAATTCCTGCTCCATGACTGCAGTCATGGGATTTTTGTCTATCACATGACGGTATATGTGTGCCCTGCTAATACCCTTTTCAAATTTGGACTCGCCCTGTGGAAGTCTGAGCACCTTTCTAGTCTAGCAATCTACCCACTATGTAATTATGTCTCTCTGTAAAGCTATCAAAAGATGGCTTTCAAAATATGTATTTGTTTTAAGCAGTGGATACCATGTGCTTTTAATTGACAGCTCTTGTTTTGGTTTTGTAGCCGAATCCTTAAGGCAAACTTCAACCCTATTTTTCAACCATCACTTGGCCTAGAAACCTAGCTTTGCCTTTCAAAATAGGAGGTGAGATCTATACGACGATATTCAAATCCCCAACTAGCATGAAAGAGTTTGCCTGCTGGCCAACCTTACGTTTTCTGAGCTATAGAATGCACCCGAGACCCTGAGTCAGCTGTTCTGCATTAAATCAAATGAATTTCATGTTAACACCCCGGCTGGAGTCTAGCCTATGTACAGTAAAATGTAATGGCCCATACTTCACAATTGGCAGAGCTCACCCCTTGGCATGCTTCGTTTGCAGAAAAACAGGGCTCCCTTAGCTCCCTACAGGTCACCTTGGGTCATCTGATCATTTTAAAGCAGAACTTCCCACAGCAAAGAAGGAAGGGCTCTGCTTGAAAACTCACGCCTGAGGTTCTGAACCTTTCAGCTGGCTTTCCCAAGGCCTGAAACACAATATATCTGCATGTTTTTACTGATGCATCTGGTTTAGATTGAACGAGGACTCTCACAGGAATCTCCCACATACAGTGCACTGCTAATCAAGCAACTAGAGTCTTGGGTCCCCTTTAAAAAAAAATTGTGTCCTTTGGGTCAAAGCAGTTTTTTCTCCTCTAGTTCTTACACCATCTTTGGAAGAAATGGCAAGTAGAGGTAAAGGCAAATAAAGAGCTTGGGTGATTTAGAATACAAAGAGTAGAGTTTTACCCAAATGCAAGATCATGTTGAGATTTGTCCTTATCATTTCAGTGGTACCTCAGGTTAAGAACTTAATTTGTTCCGGAGGTCCGTTCTTAACCTGAAACTGTTCTTAACCTGAGGTGCCACCTTAGCTGATGGGGCCTCCTGCTGCCGCACGATTTCTGTTCTCATCCTGAAACAAAGTTCTTAACCCGATGTACTATTTCTGGGTTAGTGGAGTCTGTAACCTGAAGTGTCTGTAACCTGAAGCGTCTGTAACCCGAGGAACCACTGTACTGCCAGGCAGCCCTCCTCCCTACCTATCACTAACCCCCTTTCCTTTCTTTCCTCCAAACCCACAGGGTAGCGGCAGGGCAGTAGCAATGGAAGGGCTCTCTGGAGGCTTCTGCGTGAGGCTTCCTTGGCTTCTAAGGACATGGCAGCCACAGTATCCCAGGCACTGGGGACCCTGGGAAATGCAGTTCCCCAGAGCCCCCGAGACCTGCAGCTAGTGACCTACTGCCTTTGGCTTAGTTAAGAGGAAGAGAACAAGAAGCAGAGTTAAGCAGTTCTTGACAGGAATAGGGGGGCTTGGGGAAGGGAGTTGGTCACATCCCTTTGCACCCATGATGACAACATTGGTAGCACAACTAATTCATTGACAGCACGACTAATCCAATTTAAGAACTGAGCTTTTTTTGTAAAGAAAAGGAAAAGCAGAAATTATTTCCACTTTAGGGAGAAAACATTTTGCTCATCCCAGTCCCAAGCCACACAATGAGGAGTTCATTCATCATTAGAAATATACAAACTTGAAGTGTAGATATGAAATTGTCTCCAAAGGTTAAATAATCCAGGTGAACAGGTCATGTGATTGAAGGTGAGGGAAACACTTATATTTGTTGGGAAGGGACAACTCTCCCCTCTTTACTAAAGTTAAACATTGTCACACACACCTCTTTGAAGCCCCATAGATTCCTTCCTTCCTTCCCAAATCCACTTATTTTTTCGCTTTGGTTGCTGCCCCCTCCTTGCATTCTAAGCCTACATCTTTGACATTTCTGAACATGAACACTGTCGCTTTCCTTTACTAATAGTATGCTTTGTCAAAGAAGCCACAGTACAAACCCTTTGACACAGATGCAATGGCTGTCCAGCCTTACCAGGACCAGTCTTTCCAGCCCATCTACTTTGTAGCAGAACACTTTGAAGACATGAAGTCTCAGCTCCAGTAAGTATGGCAGTGGCACTCATTCAAAGCAGATATAGCCCATCGCCAAGTGAGGATGATTTGGCCTTCAGAACACCTTTGATGGGAACATGGAGTCATGCACAGACCTCAGAAGGTGTTGTTGTCCTTTCAGAATTCTTAACTTGGCATGTGTGTGTTGTGGAGTGAGGGCACACAGGGACAAAGCATCACCCCTTATTTCACAGCACTGACAACTATGCCATCTCTTGGGGGTCTTATTTCCTAGTTTTCTGCATGCCAAAGAAGTCAATTCTTTTTCCTCTGGGAAGAACCCACTAAATAAGCCAGGCGAGCCTCTCTGGGGAGAGCATTCGACAAATGAGAAGCCACCACAGAAAGGGCCCATTCTCGTCTTGCCACCCTTCAAACTTCATATGGAGGGGTGGACATAGAAAAGGAGCTCAGATGACAAGAGGCGGTCCTTAAGAGCTTGAGGTCTTGAGCTGTGTTATATGGGGATCTCTCCAGGGGATGCACCAACAGTTGGAAGGATCATCTCCATACAAAACTTTTACTTGGTAAACATTAAGGCCACAGTTTATTTATGAGACCCTGCTCTATTTAATTTTCCAGTGGTGCCAATCATAAAACTGGAAAAGAACACACTTTCTCCAGACCCTATAAATTGCATGCACTTGTAAAAACATAAAAACTCATCTTTTGATCAATTATTTTTCCTCTACAGAAAATACACCGTTAAGATCAAGAAACCTTTTACTCTTCATTATAATCCCTTTACCTGCAATGTCGAGGTTCTGGACTCACCACAGAAAGTGAAGGAAATTGTTACCCACTTGAAAGAAGAACTGAAAACTCTCTGCCATGCCTTTGAAAAGCTTTCGTAAAACAGTTGGCCTAAGCTATCACAGTTATAAGATACTATTTAGAGAAATGTGATTTACAGTGCATTTGTAGTCGCTGACAGTTCCCGGTCAAAGAGAAAATGTATTAGTTAGTATTCTTAGTAAGGTAAAGGTAAAGGGACCCCATACCATTTAGGTCCAGTTGGGGTTTCAGCACTCATCTCGCTTTATTGGCCAAGGGAGTCGGTGTACAGCTTCCGGGTTATGTGGCCAGCATGACTAAGCCACTTCTGGCGAACCAGAGCAGCGCACGGAAATGCTGTTTACCTTCCTGCCGGAGTGGTACCTATTTATCTACTTGCACTTTGATGTGCTTTGGAACTGCTAGGTTGGCAGGAGCAGGGACTAAGCAACAGGAGCTCCCCCATTGTGGGGATTCAAACCGCTGACCTTCTGATCGGCAAGCCCTAGGCTCTGTGGTTTAACCCACAGCGCCATCTGCGTATTCTTAGTAGTCAATCTGCAATAAAACATGGCTTGTGAAAGTGATAATCAGGGTGGGGAGAGTCCCCTGAGTGTTAAGATTGCCGATTCCATCCTAGAGAGTGTGTGCTTGTATCAATACATTTGTTTCCAAACACAGCTTGGACTCATTCATATTTTAGATGCACCCCTAAAAAATATAAAAGCAATACAGAAACATAAGTACTTGGACTGGTCCCTGCCTCTCCACCTAGCCTACCTCAGAAGGTTGCTATGACAATAAAATGGGGGAAGGGAGGACCACATACATCGCCTTGGGCTCCTTAGAGAAAAAGTGGGATAGAAATGTAAACAACAACAACAACAACAACAGAGAGAGAGAGTTGGCTTATACCAAGTCAAACTATTGGTCCATCTAGCTCTAAGTTGTCTACATTGACTGGCAGCAGATCACCAAGGTCTCAGCCAGAAGTTGTTGGAGATTGAGCAGAGGCCCTTTTGTAGGCACATCAGATGTTCTGCAGTGGCTACAGACAAGCCACTTGTGCTCCATACTGCTTGTGGCTTCTTTGGTGTACCCCTGCTGTACCACACCAAGGGATAATCCATTCTGGCACCTGTTGCACAATGATCACTCCGTTCATAGAATTCCTGGCTCAAAACACAGACTGCACACACAGTATACCTTTGAAGTGCGTTCAAAACACATCTCCTCCCCTCATGGAATCCTGGGTGTCATAGTTAAGTTTCATTGGGAATTGTAACTCTGTGAGGGATAAACTCTCTCTCTCTCTCTCTCTCTCTCTCTCTCTCTCTCTGTGTGTGTGTGTGATTTGAATGTGCTTTAAAGATATAGACTGTCTGCAACCACAGCCTCATGTGAGACTGCACTTATTTTGGATGGCTGCTCATGTAGACAAAGACACCTCTTTGATTAGGCAGCATGTTCCACAATTGTGCATATTATATTTTGGCATCCTGGTGATAATTCTGCTTTGTCCACAAGATGGAGCTGTAACATCAACATTCATCCTCTCTACCTCCTCCCAAACTGGAAAGAAGACATTCTTTTGCTCCTCCTGTGTCATTTTCCAGTTATGACTTGGAGAAGTTCAACTTGGATTACTGAGTGAAAGGGAAGTGGGGTAGTATTTGCTTCCTCCCCCCACCCTGCTTTTCTGCATGAAAAATAAGGCTGGCCCCATTAAGCTGTGTCTCTGGACCCTCCTAACTGTTTGCATCCTGGAAGAAAAAGAGAAAGAAAGCTGGACGGGGAGAGGAAAACTGAAACCGAGACGCATCAGTTTAGTGAGCTATGGATGATTGATTGGTGGGAATGGGGGTGCAAATAATACTGAACTTTAGCGGTGCCACTTTATACCACGTGTCTTCATTGTGTGACAACAAAACACCTGATCATTCTACCCTGTCTTAGCAATATACCAAATGATCTGAAAACTTGATATTGAAAGAAGTGCATGAGAGACCACATAGGAGTGATCTGTTAGACCAGGCGGGAACAGACTTCAGGTTTGTACACCCACTGGGCTTTTTATTAGAACCTAGAGGTTCATCAGTCAGGTGCAAAACAGTGGCACAGGATGCAAAACAAAGGAATTTATCTTTTTTTTGCATTTCTGGAACAGAGCGCCCACTTCTGGGCTTCACAACGGAAGCAATACACATAACCATCTAAAGGCAGGCAGGCAGGCTGTAAGACCAATAGGTCCAGGGTCTAAAACAGATGGGGAATCTTTCTCAGTCCAGGGTCTACGTTCCCTGCTTGACAACTTTCTGGGCACTGCATGGCAGTGGTGGGCAGAGCCACAGGCAGGAATGGGAGCGGCAACAGATGTGAAATGTATCTTTCTACAGTAGACTAGTTCCTACAAACACCTCTGTCCACAATGTGGACAAGCAAAGGGCATAATCAGAGCCCAGCTGAGGAAAAGAGGAGGTGCAAACTAGGATCTGTGAGGGGTGTGGCCTGGGGAAGAGTCCTAGGGGCCAGATGGAGGGGTGCAGAGGGCCACATTTGGCCTTTAGGCTTGAGGTTTCCTACCCAGGTCTAAAAGTACCAATGGTATACCTTCTGCTGTTTATTTGAGTGAAGGAAAGTAAGAAACTGATTTTTGCATCAGAATGCACATTTGAATGCTTTTCCACATAAAAAAACCTAAAAGATAAAGATAAAGCACCAACTATCAGGGACACAATGCCAGAGCAGTCCTTCTTGATGTGCCATCTTTTTCCTGACAGGGCATTTCTGTCTTTTCCCAGACAGGGCATTCCCCAGGAGAATAACAACAACTGACGGTCTAGTAAAAAGAGCAGTAAAATAATTCTATCACATTCTTCCCTTACCTGTGTCCTGAAAGGGCAGTATGTATCAGTTACCACTGGCTTTTCTTGACTCCTTGGGTTAGAACTAAAAAGAACTTTATTGGGAACAGACAAACCGGGAGTAGGCTGGCTCTAAGATATGATTTGTTAATTGTGACAGCCTATTATCCAGTTAGATGAACGTATTCTGAAGCAAATCCATGTGAGAGAAGTTCCATGCTAATAAAAGCAGGAATAAATGTCAAAACATGGTAACGATATTGCAGAGTGTTTTGTCTGCTGCACAGTGCACACATCCACACCACCATAAAAGGGAATGGATACATTCGGGGTGATTGCTTTGTTTAAAAGGGTGGGGTAAGAATGACATGGGGCAAATGAGTGTAAATGGGAAAAATACAGTGGTACCTTGGGTTAAGAACTTAATTCGTTCTGGAGGTCCGTTCTTAACCTGAAACTGTTCTTAACCTGAAGTACCACTTTCGCTAATGGGGCCTCCCACTGCCGCCACACTGCTGCTGCATGATTTCTGTTCTCATCCTGAAGCAAAGTTCTTAACCCGAGGTACTATTTCTGGGTTAGCGGAGTCTGTAACCTGAAGCGTCTATAACCCGAGGTACCACTGTACACAGAAACACAGCTGTGCAATATAAATGTGCATTGCCTTAAAAAAAGAGAAAAAGTGGCCATTCTGAAATCAGGCAAGCTTCTGATGGATCAAGTTAGAAATCCCATAAATCAGGAGTGGCTAACCTCCGGACCTCCAGATGTTGCTGTTCATCAGTTCCAGCCAGCATAGTCAATGGTCTGGGATGACGGGAGTGGGAGTCAAGAAACATCTGGAGGCACCTAGGCTAACCATCTCCGATCTACCTGGACATTTTGACTTTGCCATGTGAAACCTAGCATTGTGTACGTGTGATGATGATGTTTTGTGGCAACCTACACTACACTCAAGCAACACATGCCAGAAGCACAACACACAGCTAGGGCACTATGGAAAACACAAAATCTCTATGCCGGTGTGATCACTGCTCTGCAAAACAACCCGAAACTACAGAAGACATGGTAGTTCAAATGCAAACATCCAAAAATCTGTGAGGGCCTTCTCAGTAATCTCGCCCACCCTGTGGAACACCCTCCCATCAGATGTCAAGGAGATACAACCTTTAGGAGACATCTGAAGGCAGCCCTGTATAGGGAAGTTTTAAATGTTTAATTTTTCATTATGTTTTTTAATATGCTAGAAGTCACCCAGAGTGTCTGGGGCAACCCAGTCAGATGGGCAGGGTATTATTATTATTATTATTATTATTATTATTAAGCAAATGGAATTCCAAAAGCCTGGTTTTAGTGCTGGTTTGAAACTGCAAAATAAGAATGTTAATAATAATTCTCCATTTGTAAATCTTACACCATTTAAATTAGGAGTGGGGGAATTATATTTTTATTGGGTGCCACATTACCTGATGAGTAATGTGTTGGGGGGGGCACACCAACAGTGAGCAGGGCTGGAGCCAGTGGTAGGCGGGGCCAGGGCTAAAAGTGAGTGGGCTTGGAACCAAAGGGGGAAGGGCCAGAACTCAGCAGCAGAGCACCTGATTTTTCATACAGAAGGTCCCTGGCATCATCTGGTGGGGCTGGGAGACCCCCCATCTGAAACCCCTGAAAGCTGCTGCCATACAGGCAGAGACAGCATTGAGCTAGATGGAACAGTGGCTTAACTTGGTATAAGTCAGCTTCCTAATGGGACATTCCTCTCTCTCTCTCTCTCTCTCTCTCTCTCTCTCTCTCCTCTTTTCCTGAATTTCTCCTCTTCTTGACTCTTGTACAAAATTAGGCCTTAGGCATATGGACCAAGGCACACCCTAATGTTTCAAAACACAACTTTAAGAGCAGTTTAAAACAACTCACAAACACAGAAATAAGGAGAATCCTAAAAATATACATTTCAGGTTTCAGAAGCCAAGGTAAAGAGGTCTCCTCACCACCACCGCTGCTTTAAAGATTCCCCCTTATTCTTCTGCAAACCTTTTGGCTTCCCCTGAGTCTGCTGATAGCTCCCTCTTGTGTAGCTGGGTGGTGCCATTTTGGCCCATAAGCCACGGAACTCTCCCCCCTGAAGACAGGAATTATTAGTGCCTGCGATTCTATTGCCAGGGAAAGATTAGGGAGTCGCTGACCTACGGAACGCAGAAATCTGGCTTCTGTCCCGT